GAACACACACATTATCCCTCTCTGAGTATCTTAACGCCAATCCCGGGCATCATTTCCTTTTACCTGTAAATACTTTAGGAGGCATTGCTAACAGATACAGAGGGTTTGTTTGTTTGTTTGCCTTTTTGTTTTTGTTTAGCACAAGCACAATATTAATCATGCCCAACAAAACTAATAGTCACATCATCTAACACCCAGTCGGGTTCAATTTTTTCTGATTGTCTCATAATGTTTTACAGTTGGTTTGTTCCGATCCGGATCCAAACCAAATCCATACTTTGCATTTGATTGTTTGGTCTCCTAACTCTATTGTTGTTTGGTCTCTTTTACTCTGTGACAGTCACCTTTTTCATGCCCTGTGTGTCTTGGAGGAACGGGGCCATTTGTCCTGTGGAATTACCCACATTCTGGAGTGGGCAGATGCAGCCAACTGGTGTCATCTGACTTGTTCTCCTGTCCCTGTATTTCCCATAAACCAGGAGTCAGGGCTGAGGTGTGGTTGGATTCAGGTTCAGTTTTGGCAAGAACACTCCCCTGGGTGCTCCTGTGTGCGTCTTACTGCATCGTACCAGGAGGACATGAGGTCTTCAGCCAATTTATAACAACTCCTTTACAGTTTTCCCGTCTTCAGGATGAGCAGAGCTCTGCTGTCCTGGGGTGAGAGGCAGAGCATGAAGGGGCTCAGAGATCTTGGCACCAGGAACTGTCAGCCAGGAAGGCCTGGCCTGGAGCCCTCAGTCTGAGGGAGAAGCTGGTACCAAGTTCTCACTTTACTGTCCTTCCCAGGAACCCACAGGCTACAGGCAGTGGCTCGCTCTTCCTGAGAAATTGGTAGACATTTCAAGAAGTCTAGACTTTGGCTGAGAGCTCCCTGAGGGCAGAGCTGCGTGCTCCCTCAGACCGGGGCTCCCCGAGGGCGGGGCCGCGTCTCCTCCTTCTTACGTCTTCCCTCAACACCTGCAGTACTTTATACCCAGTGACTACTCAAAAAAGAAATCTTAAAATAAATACTAATATGCACCTGCTGTATACCAGGTGCTTTATGTGTATTATCCCATTTAATCTCCACCACAGCCCTGTCAGGTACTCATTATGTCATTCCTCAGATGAGAAAACTGAGGCCCACAGAGGTCCGGCGAGTTGCTGGGGTTCCACAGGTGTCATGCAGCTATCATTCCCGTTGGGGATGACCCATCGTCAGCTGTACTCCTGCCTCCCTCTTCTCCCCTCCCCTTCATTTCCATATGGCTTTCCTTGTTGATTTATTGATTCATCCACTAAATTATGTTGGTTTTCCCAGGAAAAATCTGACATGATGATTTTCCCAAGTCATGTGTGGCTTGGCTATGGGAGAGTGGGCTGGAACCCAGGCCTTATCTTAATCAAGACCCTTACAAGCCTTGGTGAGCCCTGAGCAGAGCAAGATTTGTAGCCTGGGAAATACTCTGATATAAATAGTGAGCTCACCGCCTAAGGAGCTCTCCTCTGCCTGGCTTTGTCTTAAGAGGGTGAGTGAGGCCTTAATCGGTGGTTGGAACCAGGGCAAGCACTGAGCAAACAAGATGATGCTTCTAGGGGATGGAGGGGGAAGGCTAGTTCCAGATGTGGGACCCCAAGACGTCCCAGGCTGGGAGCCCAGGGAAGCCCCAACGTCCACCAAGCCAGGCCGGCCTCCCCCATGCTGACTTCGGCCCTGTCCTGATGGAGTCCCTAGTCCAGGGGAGGAGACACAGCCCTGCCCCCAGGAAGCCCCTGTCTGAGGGGAGACACGGCCCCGTCCTCAGGGAGCTCAGTCTGAGGGGGACACGGCACCGCCCTTGGGGAGCCCCTGTCTGAGTGGGGGAGACAGCCCTGCCCTCAGAAGCAGGGTGGCTTCCTGAACACTGGGGGTCAGCAAGGTGGTGTGGGAGGACGGTGGCCGTCCAGAAGGCCAGCCCGTGGACTGGGGGCAGCTCAGATCATCTGCTGGCCTCAGCCCGCACAACTGCAGGCCTGGCCCTCACTTCAGATCCACGTGGAGTGTGTGTGAGACAGGTCTGCAGGCCTCACCCCAATTTAGGGACACTTGGAGGGTGCATAAAGAGAGATGACGGTGGACAGGAAAGGGCTGCTGGGAACAGGAGAGGGACTTCACATCTCCTAGGAAGTTTACTGGAAAGGCCAACATGCAGGGAGGACCTGAGAGACTGAGGAACTCTGAGGGGAGAAGGGGGCAGCTGCTGTGGGCTTCACTTCCTGTGCGGCTTTGGGTGAGGCCCTGCCCTGCTCTGGCCCCACTTCCTCTTCTGCAGAACGATCTGATGGTTTGCGAGGTCCCTCCCAGATGGCCCGGAGTAGGGAGGAGCTGGCATTCTCTGCGGGCCTGGTGCAGTGCATTCCTCCCACTGCCTCATTTAGACCTCCGCAGGGCCCCTGGGGGGATGTGGTTATCCCCACCTCACACGGGTCCAGAGAGTTCCATGGCTCACAAAGGCAGATTTGGGGCTCAAAGTTTGGCTCTCTGCTATACCCACTCCTCTCCACGGGGACATCGGGAACAGCCCAGGTGGGATATAGTGCTGATGGGAGCGGGCTTGAGGGACAGCACACAGGGCAGGGAGAGGGAGGAACAGCATTAGAGTTGGGAGGCCCCTGGCCTCGAGGAGGCGGGCTGGGGTTGGTCTTGGGGTGGGAGACCAGCATCTGCTCAGTTGGGGTGGCGCTGCTGGCCCCTGAAGAGGGGAGCGGGAGCACCACACTGAAGGCCCCTCTGCTTCAGTCCCCCCCCAGCACCCCCGCAGCAGGCACTGACTGGGGGCCCCAATGGCCCGGGTGCCGAGCTGGGGACTGGGGAGGTGGGGGAGAGCTGAGCAAGACATGGTTTCTGGGTGGGGCTGGGGGGAGCAGGCTCTCTCATGCATGGCTGGTGGGGTGTGATTGTACAGCCCTTGACGGGGCAAACATGTCAGGGGTCTGGTGCAATCACAAAGGGACCCACCCTTTGATACAGGGATGCCCCTTCTAGAAATTTACCCTCTAGATGTATTCACAGTACACAAAATGACCCATGTCCACGTTTGTATTAACAGGAGACTGGGAAAGACCCACAAGCCCATCGGTAGGGAACTGGATAGTACCCCACGGACCGTCTGCACAACAGAGGTACCAGGCAGCTCATAAGAACTCTGGAGAACATTCTCCACTGACAGACATAAAAAGATCTCTAAGATATTGCTAAGAGAAAAAAGAAAGGTTTAAGACAGTATCTACAGAATATTACCATTTGGGTCAAAAAAGAAAACAACAGGAAGAATACGAACACTTGCAGAATCTGTGTTTGCTTGTCCCTGCATGAAGCTTCTCTGGAAGGACAGACAGAGCTGGCCACACTGTGTGGGAAGGGGGGCTGGGGAGTGGACCTGGAGGCCAAGGGACAAGAATGAGCAGGACATTTTTTTTTATATTAAAGAGATTTTATCTAGGATCTAAACACGAACATCTTTTTTTTAAAGTATAGTTACCATTTCAATGAACATTGCTAAAAACAATTTCTATTTTAAAGAATTACATGCTTTCTGTTCTTGTGTTGTAAAAGTCTGCTGCTCTTATGTAATGTACTGTTCATGTGCAACTTTTAAAAAATCTTTCTTGGGGGCTGGCCCTGTGGTGTAGTGGTTAAGTTCAGCATGTTCCACTTTGGCAGCCCAGGTTTGTGGGTTCAGATCCTGGGCGTGAACCTACACTGCTCATCAGCCATGCTGTGGTGGTGACCCACATATAAAGTGGAGGAAGATTGGCACAGATGTTAGCTCAGGGCTAATCTTCCTCAGCAAAAAACAAACCAACAAACAAAAACCACCTTTTTTGAGCCAGCCCTGATGGCCTAGTGGTTAAACTTTGGCGCACTCAGCTTCAGCAGCCCAGGTTTGGTTCCTGGGCGCAGAACCACACCATTTGTCTGTCAGTAGCCATGCTGTGACAGCAGCTCACATAGAAGAACCAGAAGGACTTACAACTATAGACAACTATGTCCTGGGGCTTTGGGGGGGAAAAGGAAGATGGGCAACAGATGTCAGCTTAGGGTGAATCTTCCCCTGCAACAAGAACAACAAAATCTTTCTTACTCAAGATAACATGCACACAGTCGAGTGTGCAAATCTTAAGTGTGCAGCTCGATGAATTCTGACACATAAAGACGCCTGGGTCACCACGCTCGGGTCCGGTAGAACGTACCCAGCCCGGCGAACAGGGATGGGGAGATTTTTCACTGTAAAGATTCTGCCCCTTCTGAATTCCAAACCCACGTGAATGTATGATGTGCTCTAACCAAATATATACGTAAATACAGGAATGCACACGTTATGCAGGCTGCATCCTTCACGTGAGTAGGGAGCTCCCTCCTGGCTGCGGCAGAGTTCAGACTGGACAGTGACCAGTCAGTCGAGGGCAAGGACTGTGCCTGCCTTGAGCCTCATCCCCTCCGCTGCACAGGCCCACAACATCTGTCACGGAGAACTGATCTGGCCAGAGGGGGCCTTGGTCTCCAGTGACCCATAAGGGGGAGATGAGGTTGGAGGGGGGCTGGGGGCTAAAGTCTGATGGTCATGAATCCTAGGCAGAGCCTCGTCTCATGGGCGCTGCCTGCCCTGCTGCTCTTCCTGGTTCAGCCTGCCATGGTTCCAAGAAATCGGTGACGCCAGGGCCGGGCAGCACACAGAGTGGTCGGATGAATCTCTCTATTCTCTATGTACTTCCTGCTTCTTGCTTTATCATCTGCCTCAACCCTCTAGAAGAAGAGCTCCGGGAAGGCAGGGGCATTGGCTCTCTGGGTCAACACTCCATCGTCAGCACCTAGAACAGTGGCTGGGACAGAGCCAGGCAGAGCAAACATTAGCAAATGAGTGAGTGAATGAAAGAAAGCATGAATGAGTATTCTAGCTTTTCAGCGGTGGGGATGGGAGGAACTGGCGCCTGGTGAGGAGTCCGAGAAGCCAGGCTCGAGCTGTCTGTTTCTCCTCCAGTCGCATCAAGAGCAACGTGGATGGGCGGTACCTGGTGGATGGCGTCCCCTTCAGCTGCTGCAACCCCAGCTCGCCACGGCCCTGCATCCAGTACCAGCTCACCAACAACTCGGCACACTACAGCTACGACCACCAGACGGAGGAGCTCAACCTGTGGGTGCATGGCTGCAGGGCCGCCCTGCTGGGCTACTACAGCAGCCTGATGAACTCCATGGGCGCCTTCACGCTCCTCGTCTGGCTCTTCGAGGTAGGCCTGGGCCAGCTGGGGGCAGGGGAAGAGGGCGCCACCTGCCCCATTGGTATTTAATGGGGTGGAGCCAGGGCTGGAGGGCATGTCTCTCTCCTGGGAACCAGCCCTGTGCCAGGCTGTGGGTCAGGCAGGCCTGGGGCGATGGTGGTGGTGGGGGGGCAGGTCTCTCATGCATATGGCTGGTGGGGGTGTGAACCCCAGCACCCCACTCTTTTTTGTTTGTTGCTGTCTTATCACTGAAAAAATAACTATTGAGGTGAAATTCATGGAACATAAAATTAACCATTTTAAAGTAAACAATTTGGTGGTGTTCAGCACATTTACAATGTTGTACAACCACCCTTTCTAATTCCAACACACTTTCATTACCCCTGAAGCAAACCTCACACCCATGAAACAGTCTCTCCCCATCCCCCTCTGCCCCCAGCCCCTGGCAACCTCCAGCTTGTGCTCTGTCCTCCTGGATTTATCTATTCTGGACATTTCATATAAGCGAAATCATATAATATGTGACCTTTCGTGTCTGACTTCTTTCATTTTGCATGTTTTAGACGTTCGTCCTGTGCTTCCACTTTTTGAGTCTGAGGTCTCGGAAAGTTACTTAACCTCCCTGTGATATGGGGCTGACAGCACTCAACTTTGGGACTATTGTGAGGCAACAGGGCATAATAGGTACAGAGAGGTGTTCAGTGAGTGGGAGCTATTTGGATTCGTGCTTCTCTCGAGCTGTCAGTCACCATGTACCTGTTATTCTCATTATTTGTGGATTCATCTTACCTCATCTGTAAGGCTTAATTCCTCTCTGTAGCTCCACGGCTTGGAAGGTAGCCAGTCCTCATTCATTCATTCATTCATTTTTTATTTTTTTAAAGATTTTTCCTTTTTCTCCCCAAAGCCCCCCAGTACGTAGTTGTGTATTTTTAGTTGTGGGTCCTTCTAGTTGTGGCACGTGGGACGCCACCTCAGCATGGCCCAATGAGCGGTGCCATGTCTGCACCCAGGATCCGAACAGGTGAAACCCTGGGCCATCGAAGCAGAGCGCGTGAACTTAACCACTTGGCCACGGGGCCAGCCCCCATTCATTTATTGAAGAGACGGTATTTCTTACACACCTAGGAAGTGCCAGGCGCTGTCCTGGGTGCTGAACAAGAGCACGTGTTAGTAGAAACCAAGGTGGCACAGAGGGAGGCTCAGGGACTCCTGCTTTGAGCTAACAGCAGAAAATCCCGACTCCAAAATCCAAAGGCACAAAATCAGAAACATTAGGCAGGGAAGCTTTGTCCATCAGAAGACTCACTGCAAGGTTCCTTTAGGTAAGTTGCTCCCTGGGTGCTACAGAAATTCACACATAGCTGTGCCTCGGTGAGACACACCATCTGACACCACATCACACTCGGGGGCTGTACTGCCTGGGGGTGGGTGGGAAAGGCGGGATTCTTTTACTGTTGAGGCAAACACAAGCATATTTATGAGGATTGATTGGTCGTTGACTCCTTGAAGCAGAGTCTTGGGAATGAGTGGCTAGAATGAGGATAGAAGCTTACTGCTAGAAGGTTAGAAGGTCCCATCGCCTGAAAGCCCACAAAAACAAGACTGAAAGACTAACAGAAGTCAGTGGGAAAACGGGGTTGGTTCTACTGGCTGCCTCAGTTTATCCACCTTTCCAGGAATCTAGTGACTGCATAAGATGAGAACCAGCTCACTAGGAAGAGGGAGTTTGAATGCCCCTGACTTTTACTGGAAGCCTTTAGCGGACAGAACTCTGCGATGGGCACGAGGGTGGCTCAGCTAGCAGTAGGATTCTGCCCTGAGCCTTGCCCTCCTGGGCTTCACAATCAATTTGGGAGATGACAACTAACTCATGAACCAAAGGGAGGATCGTTACCAAGTGCAAAACTCATAGTGCAGCAGTGGGCCTCCTTCAAGAAAGCAGGAGGGGATCAGAGTGTGTGCATGCACACCAGGAGGACTTCCTGGAGGAGGTGAGTTTTTCCACTGTAAAAAGAATTTATTAAACTTTCAGTCAACAATAACAATAACAATAACCTAAAACTATATCATCTACTATGTAATTATAAAATGCTCCCAGAGCATTCATTCAACAGATGTTTACCATGGCCCTACCACACTGGGAGCTGTTCCTGAGGGCTGATACTAGTGAATAAGATGGATCAGGGCCACCCCTGCCCTCAGGGGTGGACGTTCTCCATTAGAAGGACTAGTTCGCTCAGAGTTTGCTATACCAGTATACCAGTTTAAGAGAGCAAACCAGGAATTCGTGTAGAAACAAGTGGCTAACACAGTACATTAGTAGAAAAGTGAAAACAATACTTACCACGCTAATAACTGACAGCTGACACTTCTATTCCTCCTTCCTGTGCGCCAGGTACCACGCTCTACACGTGCTGAAGTGTCACAGCATGCACATAAGGCAGGCGACACTTCATCTGAAGATCTGCAAACCAGATGGGTAAACTGAGGTTTCCTAGTAACATGGCTGGCTACGTGCCAGGGCTGGGGTTTGAGCCCAGGCACTTTGGCACCAGAGTCTGCCAACTGTGCCACTGCTAGTGAGCAAATCCAAACCAACAGCCCACTCATCCCCACATTAATCAAAATAACGGAGGCAGAGGGAAACCACTGATCATACTGTTTGCAGAAAAGGAGATGATTTTTTCTGTCCAGCAAGTAGTTACTGAACACCCGATATATGCCAAGCAACATGCTAGGAATGGGGGGAGGGCACAGGGAGGAGGAGCCTGGGACTAAGGCCCCCAGGACAGTTGCGACCCGAGAGGAATGGGAGGGAGAATGAGCAGCAGGGACACTCACTGAGGGCTGAGCTGAGTTAGCGGGTGAATGTGGAGAGGAACCACGTTCTAGGCAGAGAAAAAGCCGGGGCGCGGGCAGGATCTAGTGAAGCCCAGGGTGGCCTGAAAGGGAGGAGAAAGGGGCCAGAGAGGAGGCTGGAGAAGAGGCAGGTACCTGAGCACCCAGGCCGGGGTGGGGGGTGGGCAGGCCCTCACCAACCCAGACTCAACAGAGCTGCCTCAGTTGAAGGGCACCCAGGGCCAACAGGCCGGTGGCTCCCATCGTTTCCCAATAGCCCCAACCCCCAGCTCCTTCTCCCAGCTCTCTAAGTCTCCTCTCTCCCTGCCAGGTGACCATCACGGTCGGGTTGCGCTACCTGCACACGGCGCTGGAAGGCGTGTCCAACCCGGAAGACCCCGAGTGCGAGAGTGAGGGCTGGCTTCTGGAAAAGAGCGTGCCGGAGACCTGGAAGGCCTTTCTGGAGAGCTTGAAAAAGCTGGGCAAGAGTAACCAGGTGGATGCCGAGGGCGCAGACGCAGGCCAGGCCCCAGAGGCTGGCTGATGGCCCTGGGGCCCCCTCCCCTCCTGGACACTGAGTAGTGGACTCCAAGAAATGCGGATACCCCCCTCATCCAATCCGAATCTCCCAAGGAGGGTGGCCGTCTCACAGAGACTCTTCTTGATGGTGGATTTAAAGTTCTGAGTCCCTAAAAGTGTTTGGCAAACATTTGTTGAATAACTGACTCAAAACGTGAGTGAGTGAGCCCCCGCTCAGGCCCACTGCCCTGGGTAAGCCCTCGTGGTGGACTCGGGGGACGTCCTCAGTGGATGACTCTTCACAACACATGAATTCAGTTACCCGAGGCTACTGGCCACCTCTGAGGGCTGCTCCCCTTTGACGAGTCTCCCATTACGAGCACGAAGTTGCTTCATTTTGTATCCAAAGCGTCACTTGGTGCATAAGCACAGCAGTCTAAAAAATGTACTGGCCGTGTTGTCATTTTTTTTAAATGCCAAGATTGACAGGTCAGCCATTTTATTTGCTTAACTGCAAATAACTAGGAGACAGTTATGCTTTTCTGAGAGTTAATGGGCTTTCCAAAGCGCCGAGGGCTCAAAAGAGGAATTCTTCAGTCATGGGGCAAGAGGACTCAAAGACGCAGAATTATCTGCCCCCACTAACAACACAGTTAAAGGCCTGCTTTTGTGTCACATTCACGTGCCCTCAGTCACTTAAGCCAGGAGTGAGCCAGGGGCTGAGAAAGGCAGGTTGTTGGCATGTTCCAGCAACATCCCAACCTTCAAGTGCTGGGTGAGCTCGTCTGGCTTGTCTGTGGAAGCGCTGGATCAGATGGCTGCCCTTCTGTGCAAGAGGAGCAACAATCAGACAAGAGTCCACCCTGTGGAGACCAGGTGTCACCTCTTGGCGGGCCCAGGGACACCCACCCAGGTGGCTGTGGCAAGCCCCCATGGACGACACTAACTGTCTACCGTGGAGGGCAAAGAGTCCTCTGGGAGCTTCTTCCTGTTTTTCCCCAGGTACCCATCCTGCAAAGCAGTATTTCCAGAATGCCTCTGCGTTAAAGAAAATTCTTTGAGACAGCCCATCTTCCCGAGCCAGCAACTGCCAAGAGAAGCTTTCACTTCCCTCAGGAAAAAGAGAGAAAGGAAGCTTTTAGAAGGAGAGAACGATTCCACTGTCGTCCTAAGAGTTTTCAGTGTGGAGAGAATGGCTTCTGGCGCTGCCTGGGCTACATTCTGGGGTTCTCATTCTCCCAGACTTATGACCAGATCGAAGACGTTTGGACACTCTGTCTGACTTTGGTCCCAGGTTTCATCTAATTAGACTCTGAATCTCCTTGAGACCAAGGAATGATCTACATGGAAAATGCTGAGTCAGCCACTGCCGACAAGGGTCCTGGAGCTCTCTCCCCTCTCAGGAGTGCTGAGAACCACCACGAAAATGCTGCTCTAGGCCACATGTGATGCTGTACGATAGACATTAAAAATTACCTCTATGAAAATCACTTTTGTTCAATGCCTGTCTTATAGCCTATTCTTCACTATGTGTCACAGGATCTCCAACTCTAGGTAGTATTTGTTAAAAACAAAACAAAACGAAGCCTCACACTAAAAAGCAGCATTGTTAATAATCAGGGTAGCTGTTCCAGCAGCATGGGCATCACCTCTCTCCCTCCTGCTATCTCTTATCTGCAAGAAGTGACTAATAGGTTAACCAAATAATCTCAACATTTGCAAGAGTTTGGACCAGAGCTGAATTTATCTAATATTTTTAAAAGATTTTATTTTTCCTTTTTTCTCCCAAAGCCCCCGGGTACATAGTTGTGTATTTTTAGTTGCAGGTCCTTCTAGTTGTAGCAGGTGGGACGCCGCCTCAGCATGGCCTGATGAGTGGTGCCATGTCCATGCCTAGGATTTGAACTGGCGAAACCATGGGCCGCCGAAGCGGAGCGTGTGAACTGAACCACTCTGCCATGGGGCCGGCCCCAATATGTGGAATCTTAATTTAAGTGATTTAAGGAAAAATTCCAAACCATTTTTTTTCCTGCTCTGGTCAAGACATATTTCCCCAAACAGGGAAATATGAGTATCCACGGGGCCAGGTTATAGGGCAGATGTAAGCAATCTCAGAATCTGAGAGCTGTTGGGAGGACCAAGGGTGAATAGATCCTCTGATAAATACCACCAGTTGATTCAGACCAGACTTAGGGTGAGCTGCATCTTAACAGGTCTTCTCAGGCAGCCACGTAGTTGCCAGAGAAACCTGGCCCATCTCTTTTGCTCATCTACCAGTGCCCAGCAAGACTCTGGTACCAGGTTCTTCCTTGTGTCTAACCTCAGTCTTTCCTTGGGACAGAGTAAATTATATTCACTTCTCCCAAGAGACTCAGCCAGTTTTTAAAGTCCTGCCAGCCTAGCCCGGGGGTAGGCTAAGAGGTAAAGAGGTAAGAGGTAAAGACAGTGCCTTAGAACTTTTATTTTGAAAACGCTCCATAGTGAAGTAGATAATAACTACTTATTCTGAACATTTAGGAAGGCAGGTGTTCTAGAATTTGTGGGCTCAGTTCAAGAACCCATGGCCTCTTGCAACACTTTCAAGCCCAGGACTGAGCCACCAACAAATAAACCCCGAGTAACCTCAATACCAGTTAATAAGATTAGGGGCTTGCTCTGCACGCTCCCCTGCCTCTCCTTGTCCAGGAACCTGTAATGCTAGGCCAGCAGGTTTGAAGCTTAGCTGGCGGCACGGGGAGGGGGCCAAGACAATTAGGGCCTCTGATCTGCTACTAGATAAAAAGGTGGCTCCTGATGACAGCACGGCCAGCCAGCAGCAACGCGTTAAGAACAGGCATGTGGGGGGAATACTACGGAAGTCCAGGGAGCGAGGGGAGGCCCTCCCACTCCTCAGCGGACATGAGAGCGGCTCGAAGGGAGGAAACATCAGCTTTTAACTTCTGATGGCATTATATCTTGTCCTCCAAAACAGAGGCTGAGTATAAACAGCAAAGTTAAAGAGAATGCTGTCCAAGGACGGTGTAGATTAAGCATGAGACAACTCCTAGCTATTTACCCCAGGGGAATGAAAACCAAGGTCCAAACAAAAGACTATACATTAACGTTTGTAATGGCTTTATTCATAATCACCAAAAATTGCCCAATGTCCCTCACCTGGTGACTGCATAAAGATCTGCACAATGGAACACGACTCAGCAAACAAAGGAACACGGCTCGCTCTCAAATTCACTAGTCTTCTTAGTGAGAGAAGTCAGACTCAAAAGGCTACATGTATATTTACATAACATCCTGGAAGAGGCAAGACAAAGCGACAGAAAAAGATGAGTGGTTGCCAGGGGTCAGGATGCGGGGAGAAGGCGACCATGAAGGGGCACGAGGGAACTTCTTGGGATGATGGAACTGTTCTATTTCTTGGTTGTGGTGGCTGCTACACAACTGTACGCATTTGTCAAAAGCAGGAAACTGTCCACTAAAAGGGTGAATTTTACTATTTGTAAAATAAACCTCAATAAACCTGACTTAGAAAAAAGAGTAGGGACAGAGCAAGGAGTGTGTCAGAGGGGCTTAATGAATGCTGGAACCGATGACGTTAGGCCGAGGGAAAGGAGTAAGCTGGGAGGAGCACCACGGCCAGGAGACAGGGGAAGCACAATGAAAACCTCGCTTTTTTCGTTTGATGTTTTCTTTCTTTCCTCTCCAAAGCCCCAGTGCATCATTGTATATCCCAGCTGTAAATCCTCCTAGTTCTTCTATGTGGGACGCTGCCACAGCATGACTAGACAAGCAGTGCCAGGTCCGTACCCAGGATCCGAACTGGCGAACCCTGGGCTGCCAAAGTGGAGCGTGTGAACTGAACCACTAGACCACTGGGCCGGCCCCAGTTCGATGCTTTCTTTTTAAGAGGATGTTGAACAGTGCAGCAGAGGTCTCGTAGGCAATGACTCCCCTGCAAACACAGCATGCAGCTTCCCTTCTATGTGTCAGCAGCAGAGACCGTCTGCAGAGTGTAAGAACAAGGACCTGGAGATCACCAGGTGAGGACGAGCAAGAAGAGTGAAACCTGGAGACAGGTCTTGGAGCTGGGGAAGACTTTGAGTGCCCTCTTTCCCCAGTGATTTGAGGTCCATAATGGTTCAGAAAGGTCACAAGCTGTCATAGCCAATGATTATGAAATCTAATCAGCTGAAATGATGATCCAGCTTTCTCTGGGAAGGTCAAGATGGTTTGGCTAATGGCCATAATTGACACTAATGATATAAGCATCTTAAATTTCAAGCTAATACAGATGTCCCACTTTATTTGTAGCAAGGTGACATGGGGAACACTTACATGGCATTTAAGTGTGAAACAAACAGAAAGAAAACATAGGCAGACCCAAAATGTCAACACCTAAAGCATTTATTTGGATATCTTTAAATTTTTTACATATGATACATTCCAAATTTTACAAGTTGTCCACAGATATTAAAGTTATAGCCAATTTATTAAACAGATATGATTTTCCCTGATATGGAAAGCATGTTATATAAACATTTCTACAATAAACATAATACATGCGGAACAAATCATAAAACTAAGATGATTCATTAGGTAGGGAAGACAATCAGATACTGATGCACACACCAGAAGAGAAAATGGTGTTATTTCACATGAATTCATCTTCTCTCAGACTTCCGAACATTCTAAGAGAATGGAATCCAGGGACACCCTCTTCTAACAACAAACTTCCATGAAGTCAGTCCTGAAAGTGGGATTATAGCTATGATTTGGTGAAAATGTCCATAATTTACAGAGGGAGAAACCTGGTCTTATCATTTTAAATTTGAGCTTGATGAACATATGGAAAAAAGCCCAAAGAAGCTGGACTTAAAAGCTAAAGGAATGGGGATGTGACAAAGGCCAAAATAAAATTAAAGTCATGATGCCATCCACAGCCCAAACCGCCAGATCTTATGAACGGGAGAAAGGCAAGAAAAAGGGACAGCACTGGGTTCAAATTTGGATTTTCTTCCTACTGGGTGAGAAACACCTCCTCTCAGATGGGTGAGCCAGTCCCAAAGTGAGGTTAAGGACATCCTTTCAAAGAAGGTTCTTTCACACACTGCCTTGGAGAGGAAGCAGTGAATGTGGCTTCTGCATCCCCACTTATTTTAGCCGAAAGCCTGGATTTCTGACCTTCCTCCGCGTGGGAAGGAACTTTTCGATGCAGTTCAAAGGAAACTGAGTGAAAGGGTTACTCGCATTGGCTGAAAGAATCCAAGAGCCTCTTATTTACTCATTTGTCCCTTAGCCTCGCCTTAAAGAGGTTCTGATTTTATCCCTCCACTAAATCTGGCATCACTCTCTGTGTGCATTCAAGCTCTCAGCACATTATATCAAACGAGAGTCGCTGTGTGGCATGTAATAGTTATAAGCCATTTTACTAAGTGGCTATCATTCTAGGAAGGCACCTCTTCGTAAGAACAATAATGTTTAAAAACAATAAAAAGCCCGGGCACAGAGGCTGTCCCAGCAATGTACTAAGTAAGCCAGCGGGTAAACAGCAATTCATCTATCCCAGGAAATGCTGGAAGGGGTGAGGGTTGGGGAGGGGGAACCACGAAACACTGAGTTCTCATTTTTCTTGCTAGTGTTGGATTCTAGATGCATACGCTCTCAATTTAGTCTTAAAAATAAGAGAATATATCATCTGAAAAATTAGCATACTCTTTAAGTTTTCAAAAAGCCCTTTAAAATGAGATTTTTCTCTCAAAGCCAGAAGTCTTGTCAAAAAAAGGAAAAAAAATCCAACCTTCCGCAGCTCTGCAAACACCCAGCACACGAAGAAACCACCTCCTTCCCCTCCTCCCACAGGCTCTGCCCGCACAAGTGGCCCAGTGCTCTCAGGGCTGATGGAGACAAGGGAATGCCGCTGTCAGAATCCACTGCTTTGCACTTAGAGGTAGGGTCCCGTCAGCAGGGCACACTGACCCTGTCCCAGTGTTGAGAGTCACTGAGAGGGACCAGAGAGCGTGACCCCAACACAGCACGGAGACTCGGTTTCCTGCCGCTGAATCAGCTCCAGCCTGGAGCTCCCTGCGATCAGTAATGTACCACGGCTCAGACTCCTGGGTACAGTCAAGCCCGGGCAGATGCCCACAAAGGGGCTGTGCCCAGCACAGGAAGAGAGCTGCTCGCGGGATCCTGAAACTCAACAAGTTGCGCTTGAGGGACACAGCAAATGGCGCAAGAGAATCTGCCAGTGGAAGATGATTTTCATCAGTCCCTGGAGCCAGAAACTATAAAAAATAAAACTGGAAGAATAGCTTAAACAAAGAAGTTACTTCCAAATTCAGCAGACTTATTTCCTATTCTCTTTCTGGGAAAGCCAGCTGGGTTACAAAAATCAAGTTGGTGCTTTTGGTAGTGAAGTATTACAAATGCTGCCAGTCAATGCCAACCAGCGTCTGATTTGCTTCCTGTGCGTGTCCGATTTCCTCCGTGACACTGTGCTGCTGCCAGAGCTTCTGGATCTTCTTAAACCGCTCTTGGCACAAATGTAAAGGATTTCCCCGTCTAGAAAGAAGACACATGTCACTCAGGACGCATTCTGTCTATTCATCTATTATGCTCCAACCTTTCATGATTCAGGAAAAGTTACAAGTTACTGGTTTTAGATCCTCTGCAAAATTTCTGTGCGGCAGGCGACTGTGGCTATCAATGTGTTAGCTTGGAAGGTTTTCTAGGAGCAGCTGCAAGGGAATAAGCGCTGAAAAGAAGAGGAAAATGTACAACAAGCTACACTCACCCAGACAAGGGTGAGGGAATAGGGGGTGGGGTTGAGCAGGAGGGTCCAGGGTGCGAGGCTAAAACTACCGACTCAGTGTCCATCTTGTTGGTAAAATGTAAAAAAGAAGGGAGGGGACAGGGGAGGGGCTAAAAGGAGAATTACAGAGGTAAATCTGTTCCTCAGGGTGCTGTCTTTCAGCCACCAAGTCTAAGCCAAACAGGCAAATGTGAACAACTTTCGCGTCTAATTTAACCAAAGTACAGGTCTTGGTGAGTTCACAGCTGGGGCCTTTGCTCCCGATTCAGAGTGCACGGGGCCTCTCCCTCTCTAACCAGGACTGCTCCTCCCGAGGGTGCACACTCCCCAGAGCAACCGGAAGATCCAGCACCAAGGGGCACGCGCCTGTAACCTTGCAGTCAAGTGCCTAGAGCAGCCAGGCCACTTATCTTGCCTCAGTTTCCAGGCCTTCAACTTCTGCTCCGCAAGGCTGGACAGTTATACCTAGGTTAAGACTTACCTCCTTTGGGCAAAAAGGGATGGTTTAAAAGAAGTTCTTTAATAGTCTTCGAGGGAACTGCTGTCAGCATTTTGCTTATAAGAGAAGCTACCAGAGCAGAAGTGATTAAGCCTCAAATTCGGTGGTATTATTCTGTATGTTCTAAATCTTTGTCCCCCAGATTCTCAGGTAACAGCACGTCTTATCAGTTAAGATGTGCTCTTCCACATCACTTGGAGAACACTGGTCTTCCCACACAAAGCTGCACAGGTCACAAGGGGCTATCCCTGCGGTGCTCTGATGCTGTGGACATCACGTGGCGATTCAAATAGTTCTGTGGCGTGATAAATGGAAGAGGTGCACTCTGTCCTGTTCTTTCCTCTTAGCTACCCTGATGGCCCTCATGACATTCTGAGGACTGGGAAAAGGAGGGCCAAACCACGCAGCCAGGGTGCCCGCCTTGGAGGAGTCCACAGACAATAGGCACCTCCGCTGGAACAGAAGCCACACAGGCCCCTGGGCTGTTAGCAGGTGGGCCTCAGGACCACACAGCTCAACAGGTTCACCATGGACTAAAGGCTCTGGAGGCCCAGAGTCAGCCACTCAGCCTCCCAGGATGGGTCCTTACCTGAGTCCCTGGTCAGTCTCCCCATAGTCATCAAGGTAAGGAGGAGAATAAAAACAGCCTTTGGTTTTGCCAGCTAAAAACAACACCTGACATTCCCGCACTCTGTGGAGAGACCATTTATACATTATACATCAGTAACCAAGGTTTGGATTTAGTTCCAAATGGATTGAAGCCGTTTGAAAATAAACAAACTAGTGCTGGAAGAGAAGAAACAGCATTTACAGCAGAGACAGTTAAAAATGTAGCAACACATCTGCCCAAGTGTTGAAAATAACTGAAATGATTCATTGTAAATCAGTGTAGTGAGGGAGGGGAACATTTCAGATTAGGAATTGATGGCTCATACAGTCACGCAGCGCTTAATGCTGGGGATCCGTTCTGAGGAAAGCGTCCTTAACACAAACCTACACGGTGTAGCCTACTACATGCCTAGGCTATATGCACTAGTCTTGTGGGACCACCATTGTATACGTGGTCTGTCACTGACCAAAATGTCATTATGTGGCGCATTTAAAAAGTTAACTGTGAGAAAGAGAGTTAACTTCTAAACATAATATAGTTACTAATATTTTAACGACTATTATGAGGAAACTATTCATTAAAAAAATGGTACACAAACCTTATGAATTAGGTTGACTTGCAACACAAAGCAACACCATGCATGACCAAAATAATTTTGAAATATGCTGCACAAGGGAAAATGTTACTTTTACAGTTCTCCTAAGGGCCTTTGAAAAATGTGTCTCTTGATCCCTTTGAGAAGTTTGCGTGACTTTTTTTTGTATTAATAATTCAGTGCAATTCAACATTTATTGAGAACCTATCACACAGAAGAAATTGCCAGGCACTGGGGGATACTAAGACATGGGTATAATCTGTGCCCCAGAAGAGCTCAAACACATGTCACTTCTCTCCTTCAAATCATGAAATGGCTTCCATCTCACTCAGAGCTGTCACTGGGACATGCTAGGCCCGATCCTTCTCCCCTGCACACACCGTCCAGCAACACCAGCTTCCTTGCTGTTTCTTGAACATGGCAGGCAATATTCCCCAGCAATTTTGCACTTGCTGCTCTCTGCCTACAATGTTCTTCCCGCTTCTTTAGGTGTTTATTCAAAGTCACCTTCTCGGGGACCTTTCCCTGGTTCCTGATTTGAAATTCAACTCGCCAGCTGCCATCTCATATTGCCCTCCCTGCTTTATTATCCCTCCTCTGAGTGTATCACTTTCTAAATTTTATCAGTCTTGTTTATTGTCTACCTCCCTCTCTAGAAAACGAACTCCAGGAAGGCAGAGCTTTTTGTCTGCTTTATTAACTACTGCATTCTCAATGCCCAGGACATCATAGTTACTACTATCTGTTGTACATCACTAAATAGACACAACTATAGCCATCTGTCTGTGATACATATGAATCCAAAACCATGAGGATATGGCAACAGGAGTACTTCTCACTGGATCTGGGTAGCAAATCAAGGACAACTGGAAGTTGCACATCAGAATGAGGCACAAAGAACACAGAACAGCACTGTCATGGGAATGATGATGATGATGATGGAAGCAGCACAGTTACATGAGCCCAACATGAGACGTCAGGAGACTTCCCCCTGTTCCTCAAAGGAATAAACGCACGAGAAGCAGAGTCTCAAAATTCTCTGCAATGTAGCAGTTTCTTGTGCCACCCCTCAACAGGCATTTATCACGCAGATTGAAAGCTTCTAAAAAGCTCCCTCCAGGGCCTTACCTCAGGAAGATGCCCACCCCAGAACCACAGGAGTAGGTGTGAGCTGTGCAGGCGCCCACGTCTTCTCCTTCCAGCTCGGTCTGACAGCAGTAGCTCTGGGAGCACAGCAGAGTTCCACACACAAGGCACAGGGTTGGGGCTCTGCTCTTATCACCGCCTGATTTGGGGCACCTTCATGGGACCAAAAAAGCACAAGTCATTGCTCTAAAAAAGAGCAGCTAAAGAGCTGATGGTGGTAAAATCACCCAGAAAAACAATCTTGCAACATCCAGTACAGCTGAAGATGCATAAATCCTGTGGCCCAAGAACATTCCTTTCTGGAACATCTCACGCATGGACACAAACATCACGCAGTGGAAACGCTCAAGCAACAGTCGGAGGAAAGATTCCCCACCCAAACAAAACAAGCAACAACATTCCTTACATTCTGCGTAAAGAAGTGAACGTTTACAAGGGTAGGAAACGCTTAACACTCTAATACTGAAACTTACGAGAAATTAGATGCTTGATTAATGAGGCTGCTGTAATCCTCTGGAAGGTCTATTAACTTGTTAGATTCTCTTGGATAGCTAAACAATCAAACAAAAACCACACACGAAAAAACAGTTAATATGTGGCCATACAATAACGACCGGGTAACTTTTAGTCAAAACAAATAAAGGCAGACTGAACCTGAGTGACCATGTGCCTCCACGGTGGCACAAGAAGCCACCTAAGAAATTAAAAACGTACTCTTAAATAACACAGGGCCATAGGGTTTACATTTTTACTTGAAGAGCTCAGAATAAGTTATCAGGACAGGAGACAGTACTTAGTATCTGCCCCATTTCAGTGAAATTTGGTCGCTCTGGGACGAAGGGCAGGGCTGCGGGCTCCTACCACAGCACTTGGGAGAGGGGCAGAAAAGACGTTTGTCAGGGGTGATCTTAAGACAGAAAGGAGTTAGAGGAGAGAAGGCAGCAAAAGAACAGAGAAATTTTCTTTAAATTTGAGATACCAGGTCATGCTGATTCTTTGACAAGTTAATCCAGATAAAATTTAGATCCAAATTCAATGGTATTTGAGGACCCACTCTTGGAGCCCACATCTCCCAGCACAGGCCTTGTGGGACAGCCCTTCTCTGCTTTCCCTACTGCGGAGACAAGAGTGGCCTGAAACCCAGGGGGAGTTACTCAGACAGCAGTTCTCATACCACAATCACTTGGGGGAAATTTCAGGGGGGTATCCATGCCAGGAGCCCAGCTTTAGATGAATCAGATTTGTTAGGCAGGGCCATGAGTATTCTTCTTAAAAGTTTCCAAAGTAATTCTGGTGTATACCTCAAGTTGAGAACCACTGTTCCACATGAGTTTTCTGACTGCAGGGTTGAACCATATGAAACGGATGATATTCAATCATTTTTGACTTATGAAAACTGGAATTTCATATGGTTCCACCTAATAAACCGGGGTGTCACCATCTCTGGATTTGGGGCAGGATGTGTGTAAAATCAAAGAAACAGAACAGATAGGGGCTGGTCCGGTGGCACAGCAGTTAAGTCTGCGTGCTCCGCTTGGTGGCCTGGGGTTCACCGGTTCAGATCCTGGGCGTGGACCATGGCACCGATTATCAAGACATGCTGTGGCAGGTGTCCCTCGTATAAAGTAGAGGAAGATGGGCATGGATGTTAGCTGAGGGTTAATCTTCCTCAAAAAAAAAAAAAAAAAAAAGGAAAAAAAAAGAACAGGTAATCTCCTCTAGCCTTCTGATTTTTATGAATGATGTATTCAGCATAACCAAGGAGACATTAACACATGAAATACATCTGTTACCATCCACTACAGCACACTTTACTACAGAATCAGAATAGAGCTAATGTCAAGAGGAATGAAGAAAAAACAAAGACAGAAATGACTGGCCATGATTTGATAACTACTGACACTGACTGACAGGTACGTGGAGCCTTGTTATATTATCCTTTATACTTTTGGATAGTTTGAAATTTTCCATAATAAAAGAAAAAGAGAGCTAAGAAAAACCTAGAAAAAGACCTACATTTTTTTTAAAGTAAACATTCCAAAACATAATAATTTTGTTGTTTCCTCTGCAAAGAATAATGCCCTAGATTTATGTTTGTAATTCTGAGTCTTTTATAAACTCTCATCATTAGATTAAGACAAAAAAGTACGAAGGCAAGAAGTCCTTCCTCTTGGAATCAGTGGAGGCGTGGGAGGTCAGATCTGTAGGAATACAGCACTTCCGGGCGGCTTCCCCCCTCCCTCGCTCTCCCCTCCCCCCAACCAAATCTCTGACAATCTTTAACTTACCTTATAGCATCTCTTTCACCTTCTAGATATCTTTTAACTTCAATGTTATGACACCAACTTTAACGTAAATGGGGAAAAAAAAACCAAAACATTTTTTACTTTTGAAGGTCTAGCATGAAAATTTATTCCGCTTTTGATCCAATTAAGAGAAAAACAATCTCCTTGGCTTAATATGATACATTTACCTCACTGAAATAAGCTTAGACAAATACTATTATTTTGCCTGCAACTTTTAAAATCAGACACCATGGTCTGTGATTTTCTAAAAGCAAGAATGCTTAATATATTAAAATTTGCAGTTACATATATTATTATCCCCCTAATTTGGACACTCTGGAAAAACTAGTCTGAATTAATGACAACCTCTTATCTGGAGCTAGAATACTCATATTAAAACAATTTTTTATTGTGGTAAAATATACATAACATAAAGTTTACCATTTTAACCATTTTTAAGTATACAGTTCTGTGGCAGTAAGTACATTCACATTGCTGGGCAACTATCACCACCATCCTCCTCCAGAACTTTCTCAAATTTCCCAAATGAAATTCTGTACCACCCTTTTATTTTCTCTCTCTATAAATCTGACTACACTAGGTCCCTCATATAAGTGGAAACACAATATTTGTTCTTTTGTGACTGTCTTATTTCATTAGCATTTCTTCCAAGTTATTCCATGTTGTAGCATGTGTCAGAATTTCCTTCCTTTTTTTTTAAGCCTTACCATTTTAACTTTTTTTTTTGAAAAGATTTAATCTTTTTCATTTTTTCTCCCAAAGCCCTCTGGTACACAGTTGTGTATTTTTTAGTTGTGGGTCCTTGTTGTGGCATGTGGGATACCAGCTTAGCATAGCTCGGTGAGCGGTGCCACGTCTGTGTCCAGGATTCAAACTGGTGAAACCCCGGGCCGCTGAAGCAGTGCGTGTGACCTTAACCACTCGGCCACGGGGCCGGCCCCATTTTAACCACTTTTAAGTAGACAGTTCTGTGGGTTATTAATATTCCACCGTTATGTGCATACTACATTGTTTATCCATTCTTCTGTTGATGGAAATTTGGGTTGTTTCCACCTTTTGATTATTGTGAATAATGCCGCTGTGAACCTGAGTGTACAAGTATCTATTTGAGTCCCTGCTTTCAACACTTTTGCAACATATACCAGAAGTAGAATTGCTGGATGATATGGCAATTCGATGTTTAACTTTTTGAGGAACCACCATGCTGTTCCCTAGAGAAGCTACACCATTTTCTTTTCCTACCAGAAATGCAGATGGATTCTAATTTCTCGACATCCTCACAAACAGGTGTTATTATTGTTTGCCTTTTTTTTTTTTTAAGGAAGATTAGCGCTGAGCTAACATCTGTTGCCAATCCTCCTCTTTTTGCTGAGGAAGACTGGCCCTGAGCTAATGTCTGTTCTCATCTTCCTCTACTTTATATGTTGGATGCCTGCCACAGCCTGGCTTGACAAGTGGTGCATAGGTCCGCACCCGGGATCCAAACCGGTGAACCCCAGGACGCCAAAGTGGAATGTGCAAACATACCCGCTGCGCCACCGGGCCGGCCCCTTATTGTTTGCCTTTTTGATTATAGCCATTGTGGTTTTTTTTTTTAAGTGAATCTTTTCAGACTAATTGCATTTTTTTGTATGTGACTCAATAATAAAGAAAGCATTGTGACTGTTTTTTTTGCAGGGGAAAATTTGCCCTAGCTAACATCTGTTGTCAATCTTCCTCCTTTTTTTACTTCCTTCCCCGCTACAAAGCCCCAGTATACAGTTGTCTATAGTTGTAAGTTCTTCTGGTTCTTCTGTGTGAGCCGCTGCCACAGCATGGCTACTGACAGACAAGTGACATGGCTCTGCGCCCGGGAACTGAACCTGGGCCACTGAAGCAGAGCGTGCTGAACTCGAACCACTAGGCCACAGGGCTGGTTCCTCATTGTGGTTTTTATTTGCATTTTCCTAACAACTAGCTATGTTTAGCATGTTTTCATGTTATTTTTGGCCATCTGTATTATCTTCTTTGGAAAAAAAGTCTTTTGCTCATTTTTTAATAGGTTCCTTGCTTTTTTGTTGTTGAGATGTAGGAAATCTGGCTATATACATATTCTCTGGATATTAATCCCTTATCAGATATACGACTTGCAAATACTTTCTCCCATTCTGTGGGTAAAACAAATTTTAATCTTAACTTTGTCACTAAGTTGACATGATTGACAGGTGACTTCTCTAGATTTTAGTTTTCTCAGATATAAAGTGAAGGTATTGGACTAGATAACCTTAAGGTTTCTTTCAGTTTCAAAAATCTATGGAACAGAGTCCTGAACAAGTAAGTTAATATGAGAAAATAAAATTTCTACCGCTACTCTCCTTCCAAGCCAATCTACTTATGCTCTTTACCAGTTTGGCAAAAATCTTACCACAAAGGTAAAGCCTTAACTAAGAAGGCCTAATCATTATAGTTTGAATTACACGGATTGAATTCTGACAGGCTCACTATCTGAGAATTTTGGAAGCTATGTAATAAGCTGAAATTTCTTTCTGTATAACTATTCAATATAATGAAGAAAAGTGTATAATTATTACCTTTCAATCAGTGATTTTGTTATCTCATTATTTTCTTGAAAAAGGGAAACGAGGTTGCTTGGCAGGGAAAGATAGTTACATAAATGTTCAAAATGGCTTGCTCCAGAAACTGCAAGTGAAGGAGAAAAGAATAACGCACACAACAACTAAGAGCAGATCCCGTATGAGAGTGAGCAGCAGCAAAGTTAAAAAAAGCGAGCGTGATGAAAAAGTTCACATTTGTAGGTGCATAACCTCTAGGAAGCTAACAAGACGGCACATGGCGGGGCTCCTCAGAAAAGGATACAATTGAGAATGGAGTTGGGCAACTCCTATACCAGACTGCTCACAATTTCTTGGTGTCTCAGTTTTACCATTTGCGAAACTATTTCATGGGGTTATTTTTAAACATTAAATGACAAAAATAACATACAGGTGCTCTGGAAAAGTATAAAGCAGTACAGAAATTAAGATGATTTTATCACGAGAGATAGATTTAAACATTAACTCTAATCATTACTGTATATGATCAGGAAGTCTCAACTATATGCTATACGGTGCCCGGGCAACCAGCTGAATGGAGATGCCAGTCAACAAACTTTCAGACAGCAGCATGATATGCAGGCAACTCATGCCCTATGCCAGGCACTGGGAGACAGAGACACAGTGAACTTGCAGTCTATTTTTACACTACTTTTATGAAATGAATAAAAACTGAATACAGAAAACAACTGTGAAATAGCAAACGAATTCCTACATTAAAATCAGATTTATGAGCAATTATGGGCATTCTGAACTTTAATGCCACATGTTTCAAGTTAAAAAACACCTGAAATTGTCAGTTTTCACTTTTCAAAATTAGAAGAACCTAGTTTATGAATAACATATAATTGGACATTTTAACATCAGAAAGCAAAACTAGTGCATTTTTGTACATGTGAATAGCATTTACTGAGATCTGAATAAAATCAGACAGATACATAATTATGCATTTTATTATATAATTGTGTACATCATCATAGTCAATTATCTACGTTCTAAACTTTTAATCAGTTTTCATTTTTGTAAGTCACCTTAATTCTAAATGGCTGGAGTGAAAGACTACACAAATTTCCTATGTTTTGAAAGAGATTAGAAATTACCTTGCATCTCGGGTGGGGAAGGAACTCCATTTAAGTAATGAAAAAACAAAGCAGAACACTTCAGGAAAGGCAGGATTCCAGCTCTGACATTCCTCCACAGATGCCAGCCGGGGGGTACTTCCTTCAAGGCACTGAAAAAGAGGAAAGTGATAATTGAGAAATCTAGTAAGAAAAGGTCTTTCTAGTTACAGCACAGTGTGAAAACAGAGACAACTGCTTTTTTTGAATTGATGGTACATAGGGTTAAAAGGAGTGGGCAGCACTGATTATTACAGGGTGTCAGGTATAAATGGGCTACAGCCTCCAATGCTGTTATTAAAATTTACAGAAGTAATACAGCTACATAAAAAGAAAATTTAGAAAATAAAAAACTACCCACCATTCTAGAACTTTTTATCAGCAGGTATTACTCTGGCAAACTATTTTCATACTAATCTGTCTCAACAGTTGTAACTGTAACATATGAAATTTAAAATTAACATGTTTTTCAGAACATCATAAACCATAATTTTTACTGGAACTGTAATATTCTGAAACACATCAATCACAACCTATACCAAATTATTCCCCTGCAAGGAAACACTTAGATTGCTTTAAATTCTTTGCTAATATAAATAATAGAGTGTATATCTTAAAGCCTGAGGGATTTTTCTATATATTGAATTACTTTGTTAGTGTGGATTCTCAGAAACAGGATAACTTGGTCAAAGAATAAAAATTATGAAACTGTTCAAAAGCTACGTGAAGCTATTAGACCAAATCACGACTCCAACAATACGTGAAGTTCTAATAATTCCACTATACTTCTGCCAGTCCTGGATATTACTTTAAAAATGTATTATTATTGGGGCTGGCCTGGTGGCGTAGTGGTTAAGTTTGTGTGCTCCGCTTTGGTGGCCCGAGGTTCACAGGTTCGGATCCCGGTGCAGACCTATACGCTGCTCATCAAGCCATGCTGTGTTGGTGTCCACATACAAAATAGAGGAGGACTGGCACAGACGTTAGCTCAGGGCCAATCTTACTCAAGCAAAAAGAGGAAGATTGGCAACAGATGTTACCTCAGGGCCAATCTTCCTCACCACACACACAAAAAAAGTATTATGCCAATTTAATTTGCATTTTTAAATTCCCAGTGAGACAACATATGTTTTAGAATACACTTTCCAAAGTAAGTTCTATGTTTCCACTAGTCTGTGCCAGATCCTCTGAGCACAAAAAGGATTCCACGGCCAAATCAATGTGGGAAGCTCCGCATGTTACTCCTCTCTCAGATTTCCAATCGCATTAGTATATAAAAGTCCAGAGGAGTCCTGGACATCACTCCTCCATCTTTTTTTTAAATGTGAACAGAGAACAATTTCCCTTATGTAACAAATGAATTCCTTTTTCATGCTATCGCTTACTAATATTTGGGGAACTGCCTCTCACGTCAAGATTATGATTCTCACCTTCCTGTGCACTGCTGAAGTGTTTTATACAAAGCAAGAACTGCTGATTCTTCTTCACCAGCAGGACTCTCTTCATCCATGCCATTCTCTTCTGAAAGATAAGGAATTACTAGGGAGGGAAGAGGGCAAAAGGGGTGATTAGGCACATGTGTACGGTGATGAATGGCAATTAGTCTTAGGGGGTGAACATGACGTAATCTACACAGAAATCGAAATACAATAATGTACACCCAAAATTTATATAATGTTGTAAACCAATGTTACCTCAATTAAAAAAAAAGGAGTTATTAGTACTCTGTATTTGCCTATTAAGAGGACTGATGAGCACGTCAATTTACGCACTCAAATATATTGATACACTCACATATAATATGAAAATACTCCCACAAAACAGGGAGAAGTTAATCCCTCAGTGTGAGCACAGTATTGATCTGGATCATAACAAGGAGCCAGCAGGCTCTGGGAGAGGAAGCCAGTGTGCTTCAGGGTGCCAGAAGCAGGCTGTGAGTGAAATCAGCTAAATATAGTCTATGGTACTCAAATATTACCAAACTTAAGAAGTAAAACATAAGCAAAAACATTCACATTGCTAGGGGATTTTAACAGGAGAAAGGAATTTATTTCAAAACTTTTCACAGGAGGATAAGCAGAAAAAACAAGTAGCCTAATTATAATTCATACATTATTCTCATCCAAGCACATTTTCCTCTAATATTTTTTTTCCTTTAAACTGAGAAAACTCAAGTACTTCCTTCAAGGAGCTGACAAGAAGGAGTTACCTGTACACGAGGTAAGTAAGAGCTGGATGATGTGTGCCATGGTAACCAGACGGAAAATGTGAAGGTCCCCGGTGCCAAGGCTGGTCCCTGAGAAATCCTGACACTGCAGTGCAGGGAACGCGAGCACCAAGCCCACCTAGACACCAAACAGACGGTCAGACAGAGCCCTGCCTCTCACGGCGACGCCCATGTCCATTTTCTTCACATGACCCCCTTCTGAGCTAAGCCCCTCCCCTTAAGAAATCTTTGTTCTTAAAGGGTGCACACGTTAGAAACTCCGCCAGGATTGGCTAAATGAAGTTACTTGAGAGCTAAAGGGGTCTTGAAGGGCACTATCATTTCATTTATCCAGTGATTTCTCTCTACATAGCTTCCGCCTGAAATCTTTCTAGGGAGTGAGTAGCTGAGAAAGCATGGGTTTTGGACCCACAAAGATCTAGATATAAATCCCAGCTCTTCTTATAAGCTTTTTAGACAAGTGGACACCTCTAAGCCTCAGTTTCCCTGTTGGTAAACTAGAGATAATACATACATGCTTTTAATACCTCAGTAGTAAGGATGTAAGGATGAAACAAGAATGGATGTGAAAGCAGTCAGGCACACAATAAAAGCCAGCTCTCTGTTGCCTCCTGCTGTTTGTATGGTGGTACCAGTGGTGGTGGTTTTCACAGGAGCAGTGGGAACAACAATGGCTATCATTTACTGGGGACACACTGCCCTAAGCTCTTTATAGAACGATTGTCCCACTGAGCTCCGACACAATCATATGAGGTAGGTACTAACCAACTTAAAGGTACAGAATCTGATGTCCAAAGAGATTAACGGGATTGCACTTGGGGTTGCTGTGGGTGGTGGTGCACTCGGTGTCCTGTGTAAGGGGATCCAGTTGAGGTGGGGCCACAGTTCAGCCACCCACTGCTTGGCCAGTGGTGTGCCCTGGCCCCAGACTGCACCCGTTCAGAAGACATACCTTTCCCTAAACCGCACAAAGGGGCTGTCTGTTGCTAAGTTGTGTGACCACAGGGTTGTATCTACCCCAAAGCACTGTATGGGTCAGCAGTAGCCCTGATATTACTAGCGTTATCTTTACTTCTTTAAAGGTAAGAGCACACAGACGTTAAATTACTGACCCCAGGCACACAGCAAAGTAAGAGAGAGAGAGGATTAGGCACCCAGGTCAAGCCTCAACTAGATGCCTTAATATTTTCTTTCTGAGGCTCCTTGGAAAATAATTATATTCAGAAGTGGTAAGAAAAATTCATGGTAACTCGTCCTGTCTGCTGCTACACTACTTAGCAAGTCTAAGATAAAATTATATAGTATGATAAAGAGAACTTTCAAACACAAATTACAAGATACCCACCAATAAATGAAACATGTCAATATCTAATATGCATGGAAGGTCTCCATGGTTGTCATCAGGCACCAATGCTAAATATTTAAAGAAAAATACATTAGCACATTTCATCAACCAACATAAATATTAAATTATTTTTAAAATGCATATAATCTAGTTTAAATTTATCTTTTTGCAAGACATATATGAATTTATAAGCTAGAACTTGTACCTAAGAAAAGTTTTGCCATAACATTTCTTTGATAATGGAGAGAAGTTGCACCACTAAAACCAAAATTACAGAAGATGAGAAATTACCATAACATACATGGTACATGCATTAATACTCACATGCAAAAAGTTTACAAAAGTGTCCTTGCACCACTGAAAGTGACGCCACTGTCCAATGCGCTGCAGCAAATCTTGTTAGTGACCTAAGACAGTCATCCTGAAATGAAGAGACTGACACAATTAACGAAGAAGCCAGCATACGAAGAAGTTCTCTTCTTTCAGGAATGTTAGTTCAAAGCACAGCTAGTTGAAGCAAATCACCTCTCTCTAGATGGTGTGGAACTGAACATACAACACCTTTAATGACATGTCTCTAACATGGAATGAATGAATGAGAAATGCCTAACCTATCTCTTGCCACCATGCTGCTGGTTCCCTATCGGAAAGAAAAGGACACGTGCATCAAGACAGCCAGCCAACAACACAGACTTCCAAGAATATGAGGGAGTATTTCTCTATATTTATTCTAAAGAGATACTCAAAAATGTGGAAAACACTCCAAACATCAGGGAAACTATGTGCAAGAAGATGTGCAAATCAGGGTGTCTGCAGCCATCCAAAACTTATCGGGACTATGTAGGAACAATGAAGACTCTTGATGTAAAGCGAGGAATACTAGGAACAAAACCACAAATAAATACCAATTATAATCAAGTATAAACATGCTAATGAGAAAAGACAGATGGGTGGTAAGTTGATGAGTTTTTTCTTCCTGCTTAATTTTCTGTTTCCCAAATTTACTGTAATGTTGTTTGGTTCAATAGATATCGAGGGCCTACTATATGCTAGTCCTGGTTTTGAAGATCTTAAAATGAAAACTCACCCTCCCTCTCCTGCTCTCAAGGAGCTCACAGCCCTGGGGGTGGGAAGGGAAAGAGGAGGGGGCAGGAGACCAGTGAAAGAGGCAGTATCACAGATGAGGGACATCCCACTCACAGGACACACTTGGAGGCTTCCTAGGGGAGGCAAAGCTTGAAGAGCATCTTCCAGAGGAGGAGTCTGCTCAGGGCACTCTAGCAGAGGCAAAGGCCTGGGAACTAGGATTTGGGGACCAGCAATGAGTCTGCAAGCCTGGACCATGGATATGGGGACTGGCAGGAGGTGATAACGGAGACACAGGCTAGGAAGTTTAAGAGATATGATCAGGGTAACTTTTGGGAGGAACTCCTCTGATTACATATTAGAAAAGGGTGAGATTTAGAGTAGAAAACGCTACAATAATCTAGGCAAGATGTGATATGGGTTGAACCAAGTAAGCAGAAGTAGGAATGGAAGGAATGGGATACACATGCAGGAGACGAATTCAATAAACTCTGCTGACCAACTGGATATGAACAATCAGACCAAATGATGCATCCACTAGGACTTCCAAGTTTCTAGCTTGGTCACCTGGATGGACAGTGATGACATTAACTAAGACAGGGAACATATGAAGAAAAATTAATTTGGATTGTTCAATTTGAGGTGCCTTTAGGAGACTCAGGTGAAAAATATAAAGCAGGCAATGAGATAACAGATCTAGTTTGGAGATAAGACAGGCGGAAATCATTTGGATATAACTGAAATCACAAGCATAGATGGGGCTGACCAGGGAAGACTATCGGATGATTGAGGGTCCTGGCCCAAATTCTGGGGATTTAAAACAACACTTACAGGATGGAGGAGGGAGAACAGATTGAGAAGGAGCCTCCAGAGAAGTAGGGAGAAAACCAGGAATGTCACAGAAATCAAGAGAGAAAATGAGTTTCACAAGGAAGCAGTTAACAGAATTAAATAAATAGAAATGTCAGCACCAGCCCGGCGGCACAGCAGTTAAGTTCACACGTTCCACTTTGGTGGCCCGGGGTTCACTGGTTCGGATCCCGGGTGCGGACGTGGCACTGCTTGGCAAGCCATGCTGTGGCAGGTGTCCCACATACAAAGTGGAGGAAGATAGGCACAGATGTTAGCTCAGGGTCAGTCTTCCTCAGCTAAAAGAGGAGGATTGGAAGCAAATGTTAGCTAAGGGCTAATCTTCCTCAAAAACAAACAAATAAATGAATAGAAATGTCAAGTAAGGACTGAGAAATGCCCACTTACAATGTCAATGAGACCATCTGGTGAACTTGGTATGTGCTATTTCCAAAATATAAACAAGTGTCAGGGGTGGAAGCCAAAGTGCAGGGAGTTGAGAACTGAAGGGTAAACAAGCAATCGGAGCCAGAGTATATACCACTGTTTAAAGAAGTCTTACTGTGCATAAAATTTCTCTCTCTCAATATGAAACAAAATTAAAAACTGCAGGTGCTGTTTCTTTATCTGTATTTAAACATTTTTCATCGCATGGTGAAACATAAAATGAAATATGCTTTAAAATGTCTTGGTCATAAAAAGGGATGAAAAAGCTAAGGTGACAGACAGAAGATAGATAACACTAAGGCAAGAGTAAGAGAAGGGATAACGGAACTGGCTTGTCCACAGAGGAAATGCCAGGAGGGAGGGAGGTAACAGAAGGACTAAGGTTCTAGAGAGGGGTTGGGGTTTAGACAATAGACAGAAGGATAAGCCCCCTTACCCTGAGGTCCCTTATCCTCTAATAGAGGAGAGGAAAGTTGGAGATGTACGTAAGTTTGAAGAGTGAAAGTCAGGAAAATAGAAGTTCACCCCTAATGGTTACATACTTAAAACATTAAATTAAAAAAACCTTTTTTTTTAAAGAATAGGCCCCATTTTATAAGGCCTGTGTAACTGTTATACCAACATCTGACAAGAACATTACAAGAAAGGAAAGTAATAGGCCAATCTCTCTTATAAACATAGATGTAAAAATCTTGGATAAAATATTAGCAAATCAAATATGATGACACATAAAAAAAAATCTACACGATCAAGTTGGAATTATTTCAGGAATGCAAGGTTGGTTTAACATGCGAAAGTTAATTAATGGAAACTGATTACACAAAATCATATTAACAGAAAAAAATAGATGTGGAAGAGTCAATATGTGCCGAAGAGGTAGTCTGAAGTATACAGAATCAAGAAAATGTATAAGAACTGCCTTAGAAACCAGAACCAATGTTCTATTCATTTGTGATTGCTTTTTCAATAATCAACATATTTATCAACTCTTATTTACTGTAGCAAAAAATATCACCATCAAGATTGATAGTCATGTCATACCATATATCATAGTCAAGACTAAGGTAAACTGGTATTCTGCCGATTTACTACAAAGATGCAATTCAGGCCAGTTTTAATACCAGAGTCTACTCTTAGATATTCCAATTTAGTAAGTCCAAAGTGGCCCAGGTAGCTATATTTTTAAAAAGCTGCAAAGAGGACTTTAATGCACAACCCCCAGCCAAGAACCTCTAACACGGGATCTATATTCCTCAAACCATTAAAAAGAGTCCTGAGACTCTAGGTGTTTGCATTGAAAATAAAAGTCAGCAGACTAACTAGTTGTGGAGTGATCACATGGAACTGCATTTATTTATTTACTTTTTTGCTCAGGAAGCATTGCACTGAGCTAACACAGGCTGCCAGGCCTCTTTTTTTTGCTTGAGGAGGATTCGCCCTGAGCTAACATCTGTGCCAATTCTCCTCTATTTTTCTGTATGTGGGACACTTCCACAGCATGGCTGGTGAGTGGAGTAGGTCCACGCCCAGGATCTGAACCTGTGAACCCGGGCCGCCAAAATGGAGTGCGTGGAACTTTAACCACTAGGCAAGGGGCTGGGCCCCTAAGCTGTATTTTTTATACTGGTTTTCATTTCTTGGTTAGGCTCTTCCATCAGTGGTTCTCAATCCTGGCTCCCAGGAAGCTTTTAAAAATATTAATGCCTGGGGCCCATCTCCAGAGACTCTGACTTAACTGACCTGTGGTAGGGCCTAGGCAGTTTTTTAAAGCCTCCAGGTGATTGTACATGAATAAAATTACATGATTTTGCTCTTAAGGGCCCTTTTATGATTGTAAATGAGCAGCAGGTAGGTATGACACTATCTGACACTAGCTACACAGTAAAAAGTAGCAAGCTTTGACTGTATATTCCTTTCTCATTCTTCTAGGCACTAAATGTACTCTGCTTTGACATTAATTTGTACTTATTTACATGTTGCTTATAAAAGGTAGTCAAATATGGTAGGGATGTGCTCTGTTTTATATTTCCAATTGTAGCATTAAACATTCAAGAACAAGCACTCTGTTTTTAGTTTTCTTCCATCTTTTCATGTGTTTAACCAAGAGCTCTGGATGAAAAGAGCTGAAGTTTACTTAAAAGAAAAATCATGAAAAATTAAACCAAACATTACTCCTTCAATATGGTTACAGAAAATGGGTTTTACTATGAAAGGACTGAACCTTGCTTAAATAACCATCTCAAGGGTTTTAAGATCAAAAAAAGCAGAACCACCAATTTCCATTCCACTAAGCTGTGAACTGAGCAAAGTGATAACTCACCAGTCTGCAAGGCAAAGGACCAAACAATGGTTTATCTTCATCACTTAAAATTCTTTCTGTAAATTAAAAATGGTTAAGAGGTTAAATTTTATGTTATGTACATTTTATCACAATTTTTTTTAAAAAAGTAAAGAAAATTCTTTCTGCAAAAAGCACAATATTGTCAGGTTTTGAAATCTTTAAGTCATTTCACAAGAATTAACTTTGGATGTAAAATAAAAAAGAAAACACATTCCCTCAACTGACAAGAAGCTATAATCACCACCAAAATGAGTTCTCTGTTGTTATGGTTAATTTATAAACTCTCAATCTAACAGTTTGTCACTATGCTAAAATTCCTGCTTCAAAGCCTTCATATTATTTCTTCATATTGTTGCCCACTTATGTCTCATTTAAATACAAGCTTCTACACATAATTAATGTCAACGTATGCTTGTGACTTAAAGAGAGACTCAACTCTGAACCTCTTACCTAGGCTTTGGATGGTGTACGCACAGCTACCCCAACACATTACAGGCACACGGGGATCCTCCTCATTCGGATGAAGCTTTAGTCCCACTTTATAAGTAGCAGTTCCAAATGTTTTTAGCATTTCTTTTATGCTCTCAGAATAAGGGTTCCTGAAGTAAACATGCATAGGATTAGCTCAAAACAATGTGCTCACACAAACCAAATGGTTCAGTTTCTTAACATTTGCTATGAGGGAATTGAACCACCTAAGCTGTCTAAAGATAGTTATATGCAAAGGTGAATTAAAGACAGGCAAGCTGTCCCTGCCTGAGAGGAACTATGCTCTGTTTAGGTTGGCAGGGGTGAGGCAAAAGGCTAAAAACAAGGTATCAGGTACAAGTCTACATACTGAACTGTGGGACCCTTGACCTCTTTCCCCATGTTGAAAACAATGTATACCTACTGCCGTAGATTTTAGTTTCCCCAGTGAGGAATCCTCAGGGGTAAGATGTTCACACATCAACATTTTGGGGTCCCAAGAAAAAAGACAGGTCAAGGCCTCATCACCTGCCTGTGAGTCTCACAGGTCAGCAAGCTCCAGCCCACCCCCAGGTATCCAACAAGCTTCTTAGCGAACAACTCTTGAATAGCCACCCAAGGACTATTTAAGGAAAGGAATTTTAAGGAAATTTAAGAAAAGAACTAAACATCAAAGAGATAAACCAAAACAAACAAGCAGAAAAAAAGAACACAGAGAAAATGGAGACAGTATAGAAAGCAGTAAGCTTTAAAAAAATTAAAGATCAGACCAAAAGGGCCAACAGCGAGCTAACAGTAGAACTACCTCAAAAACCAAGAGGAGAAAATTATCTTAAGAAACAACATAAAAAATTCTGAGAACTGAAGGACATGAATCTTCAAACTCCAAGAGTCTACTGAAAATGTAGCAAAACGAAAAGCAAAAATGAAAAGATTCACACACCAAGGACGGTCACAGAAATTTCAGAACACTAGGGATTAAAGACAAGACCCCAACAGTTTCCAGAAGTCATAAAGTTACACAGGAAGAGGAATCAAAATGGTGTTCTCAATGAATGCTAGAAGTTAGTAAAACAATGCCTTGAAAATCTAGATGAAAAATTACTTCTAACCTATAATTCAATACCTAAACCATCAATCAAGCATATGGATATAATAAACATTTTCAGACACAAGAATTTAACACTCAGGGATCCTTTCTTAGGAATCTGCTGAAGAATGCACCTGTGCAAAACGAGAGAGTAAATTAGGGAAGAGTAGGGTATGAGATGCTGGGAAGTAAGAGGAGCGTGGCCAGGAGGAGTCTCGGGGTGGCAGGTGTGCCCTGTCCTGACTGGGGTGGGCGGACAGAGGCTGTGGGAGTGTGGGAGGAGGGTTCCAGCAGAGAGGACCATCTAATGAGTCTGAGCACTTAGAAAAGCTATTGCTAGGCGTCCGACAGACCCACTGCAGCATTTATGTGGGTGAGAGGGGAAGGTAATACATACATAGAAAACCAAGTACATGAAAAAACAACGTAATTATTAACCACAGGAAAGACAAAATTGTACAAGAAAGAATATATAATTGTAACACATAATTTATATTAGTAAAAACAACTGTAACATAAAAATTGCCAACTGATTTAACCACAAATTGTGAAATAACTAGTGGGAGAAGGATGAGGAGCAGTAGATAGGGTAGAGGGAAGAGGTGAATCATATACTGTTTAAAAACGATAAATCAAGAGACAGTCAACTAAGCATTTTAGTAAGAAATAGGGAAGTAAACAGCAAAAGAAACAACCAAAATGAGAAGACTGGGTAAATGACAAGGGCGAATGTGGGAGGCACAGGACTGACGTTTTTTCTTTTTAAGCCTTTCAGTACTATCTGTATTGAGTTCCTTAGTACATGCCGTGCACAGCTTCCAGGCGGCTTTACATGCATGCAGTCACTTTATCCTCACAACATTTAGGAGGTAGATCCTAGTATCCTCACTTTACAGATGAGAAAGCTGAGGTCCAGGGAGGTCAAGCAATTTGCACCGAGTCGCAGAAACAGTAAGCAGTGCTGCCGGCAACGAAACCAAGCAGTCTAGCTCTGGAACCTAAGCTATATGTTATAGTTAATTGTCTGTGGGGTAAAACAGGGCTGAAAACACTCTGGGTTTGATCCTAGGTTCCTCAGGGGTTGGTGGGGTCACAAACAGAAGCACGGGAGTCAGAGGGAAAGTTGGGGTTTGGTGGGGGAGCTGAGCGGTTTGGATTTCGACGCACTGGTGATGGGTTGTGAAGGAGAGCAAGAAAAAGCGGTGCAGCAGGGAGCCAGCAGTGCAGCCCAGGAGAGGTCGGCGGAGCTAAATACGCCACGTGGCTCTAAGGTTTTTATTAACATATCCATAATAAATATCATCATCATCATGTAATGCTTAAAAACCTTAGAATTCAAGATCAACGTCCTGTAATATTTTGCTCCCTAGCTTGACAAATCATATTCTTACTGACTCTAACTTACGTTTTTCATTTCAAGTGGGCCATATTTAAAAGGAATAAAATAATATACTCACTTAGGACGAAAATCAGGCCTAAACCCTTCAGGGAGCTGAAATTCATCCATATTTTCTGAATTCTTTGAAGAGGTGGTATCTACAGAAACAAGCATTTTATATTATTATTTATCAGTCCACAATTTTTCTATAAATTTTGGTCATAAGTTTTATTCTAAATATAGGTGAGGTATTAAAAACACAGGGTTGGGGCCGTCCCTGCAGCTGAGTGGTTAAGTTTGCAGGCTCCACTCCACAGCCCAGGGTTCACCGGTTTGGATCCTGGGCATGGACCTACACACTGCCCAATCTGCCTCACCTTGGGGGGAGTGGGGGGTGCCCAGCAGCCCAGGAAAAATTCCCATTAATAAAAACTGGCATCACACGCGTTCAAAGCATGAGAAATACTATTGCTCTGCTTGACCAAGGCACTTTGTAGCCACCTACGCTGTTCCTAATAGTATGGCCTCTAGAACACAGCTAGGGAAGCTAAGAAAAGGAAGAGCACACTATTTTGTTTTTATGGAAACCAACGATACAAATCCTGCTCAGACTGCTTTCCCTCAAGGTTGTAAGTGCAGAGCATGTCTATGAAACTTGGGAAGCCCTTGGTAATGCCAACAATAAAGTGAGTTAGGGGGCTGGCCCAGTGGTATAGTGGCTCCACCTTGGCGGCCCAGGGTTCGCAGGCTCAGACCATGCGCATGGACCTAGCACCGCTCATCAAGCCACGCTGTGGCAGCGTTCCACATAAAGGAGAGGAAGAACGGTGCAGATGTTCGCTCAGCGACAATCTTCCTCAGGCAAAAAAGGAAGATTGGCAACAGACGTTAGCTCAGGGCCAATCTTCCTCACAAAAAACAAATAAACAAACAAAAAAGTGAGTTAGCCCACAAGAACTAAAGCCAGCTCTTCAAATTCATATCTCCCCATCCCCAGAAGCTCTCCAATAAAATGGGGGAATAAGTGAGAAGCATTTATTATAAACTTCAAATGACTTTACGTATTTTTAAGGAATAGGAGTACTCTAGTAAAGTCAAACTTAGTTCATTGAGACAAAGAAAATTAGAATAAAGTCAAATTTTTAAATGAGAGGTTTTACTTTTAAAATAGTCAAACAATTTCTTCTGGAACTACATTTTCCAACAATCTCCGACTTTAGGGAAAAATGAAAGCTGGTCATCAGCACTTACGAGGAGTGCTCTCTTCTTTCCCAAGAGCCTGTAATGCTTTTATTTGCTGAGATATTGTTCTAATCCACTGAGTCAGATTTGGTTGGTCTGAAAAATTTAACCTGCTAGAAAAGATTACAGAGACTGTTTAGTGTTCTGCTGCTGCTTAGTTTACAATACAAAAAAATTCCTTAAATGATCATGGGCATAATATTTTAAACATTCTTCAAATATTTAAAAAAAAAAGAAAAAGCTAGGGGAAAATTTGTTGCCTTTTAAAAAATAAGAATAGATATTTGCCAATGGAAATAAAAATATACTACTTGTCACTATGATGCCAATAACATTATTTGTCAAAAATTTAACCTTTTTTCAGTACTGGAATTTGCTAGTATTTCTTAAATATCAGAATCACCGCACCACAACTAATATTTGAGTGTTTTTTTATGTGACAAGCACTTAGTAAAGTATTTTACAGCATTACGTTTACTCTCCCAAATATTCTTATGAAAGAGGCTCTATTAGCGTCCACACTTCACAGACGAAGAAACTGAGGTTTAGAGCTACATAACGTGACTAAGGCCACAGAAGGGACAGATCCGGCCACCACACCCCACCCTTCAGACTCCAAAGCCTGTGCTCTTCAGGACTATGTCATAATTGACTCTCAAGGGTAAAAAACAAAACCTGAACCACAAAACTGAATCAAAATAGTAGCAAAGAACTTAATAAACGATTCACACTCATAAAACTTAGATTAATTAGTATTTGTGCATATAAGGTAGACCCATAATTCTGAACATCAGATTTGAATAGCAGATAGTATCAAATTTGTATCTGAAATGAGTATGTTCAATACTCTATTAACTAGAAGCATCCTAAAAATTATGAAATAATAAAAATTTTCCATTTGAAATACACCAACAGATTTTCATTTCTTTGCTCAATTCATTTCTTTGCTATTGTTGGTCAGTAAATTGCAAAAAATTACATTTAATTGTTAGAATATTCAATAAAGTCAGACTGAACTGCCCTATCAATTTACTGAGCATCTCCTGAAAAGTGTGAGGGATATTTAAAGTCAGGTCCTAGAACTAAAGACAGTTTTCATGAATACACAGGAATTTTAGATCTTCTACGGTGTTTATGGGTGACCAAGAAACTGTTAAATTTTGGCCTTTTCCTTTCTAAAAACCAAAATCATATTTCACAGGTCTGGTAGAAGAAATGACTAAATAAAAAGTTTGTAAAGTATCTAGAAAACATTATGCAATTACCTAGAGTGATTTATCCCCCCCAGGTTTATTATTTCATTATCTTCAGAAGAAACTATTGCTTTGATATAACGGTTTTATGAGCCAAAACTTACCTGTTAAAAATCTTTCTTGGAGGAAGCAGCAGAGGAATAACAGTGTTGCTCAAGCACTCACAAAGGGGGCAGAGGAACTCTCCATTTTCTACATCATAGCTTGTGTGTAAGCGTAACCTCTGTTGCCTTCGCTGTTCTTTAGCTTGAACGGAATCAAAATACCTTTATAATTAGAGAACATGAGGTATCAAAAACAAATGGTAATTTTTTTCAATTGAGAGCCACAAGCTTCAACATCTTAAATAATTTGTTTCCATGAACCATCCAAAAGTTAAAATCTTAAATGAACTGAATTATTTTTAACACTGGTACTTTAATTTTTGAATTATTTTAATTATCAAAATGGTTTAAGAGTTCTAAAACAGGAAAGTCAAATAATGATTTTATTGCAAACAAGCATTCACAAAACAGCCAATTTCCTGGCCCCAGTGCTGTCTGGTCACTTCCCCAGGGCTGGTGGCTACGTGCCAGAGGAAGTTCATGATAACTCAAGGAGCACAGTGCCAGAATCACAGTACTGATTTGTGGGTTTTGCAGAAGCATAGAAAGCACCAAAGCAGAACAAATTCGAGGTTATCCCATCTCAGTGTAGGGAGCCATGACAGTCAGGAAGTAACAAGGCAAGTACTTAAGACTTTCAGAATCAAGACCTGCTCACCTTGGAAAGACATCACTCTTCTAAGGTTTATCCCACTGTAAAAATCTTTTTCTCCACCCAGTTTGTTAGCCAATACAGATGCCCACATTAAAAGACAGGAAGTTTCTAAGTCACTCCTTTACATGTATGACACAGCAAATAAGTTTTTAATTATTATTTATTAGGCAGTGATATAGAGTTTTTCCTTCAACATCTTTAGTTCTCCTTTTTTTCTACAATGGAATTTCCTTTATTTAAAAATTCAATTTTGAGCCTTTGGATAAGCTTCTCTTGACTACTATTAAGAATATAAATTACCTTTGCCAACAATGGGCATGCATAATGTGTCCACAGCTACCCGTGTGTGTTCCGCAAGATAGATCAGGATGCATGAATAATGGATCGTATTTTTCTGCATTACAAAACAAACAAACAAAAAACAAAACAAAACACCAAGCATTTAATTTTCCTATAACAAATGCACAACTTCAAACTGTGAAATCCTTGACAAGGGCTTGTACACGTGAAACGAAATTCCCAGTTTATTCCTTTCATTGGAGATACCAGTAACTTATGCAAGACCCTAGATTATTAAGAAAGCAAGACCCTCTAATTCTCATCACCCTGAGCACATTAACCATGCTTGAACTGTTAACAGAAACTGGAACTCAGCATTTAAGCACATCTGGTCTTCTGAACGTTTCACACTTTCAGGCGAGAGACTCCTACTCCCTCCAAAAGCCCTGAGCTCAGGAAAAGGGATGCTCTCCTCAGCGATGCCTTTAACGCTTCAGGGCAGCTGCTCACAACGAGCGCTACTAAAACTGATGTTCTGGTAGTAACGGGGCGCTCCCTAGAGGAGATCCTGCCTAAGGATGCTCACGCAGAGAACAGCCACAGACACTGTGCCACAGCCAGAGCGGCGGCAACATGTCCAGGACAGCAGCCCAGACCAGAGGGGACAAGGGAACGCAGGCAGAGTCGTCTGTTCTGGTGCTAACTGTTTATTTTCAAAGGAGATGACAAATGAAGACAAACATAAGATGGGTGCCTCTCTTCTTTAGGAATTTTCTGAATTCTCTATATAAATTAGTATAATCTTAGAAATTACGTACCATTCTAGAAAGAATAACTCAAGTTTAAATTTGTGGTATATACTAGAAAAGTGCAAATATCACAACATAAAGAAAATCTTTTATGATGTAAGTTGTGAAAGCATGTGGAAAATCCGCTTTAGCCAGCCCAAATGTTTTCCTCACGAAATAACAAATTAAATAAAATTGGTGACTTTATCTTCGGCCTGGAATGAAATTAATAAACTGCTTAGTTCAAATGACCATTTTTTAAGATGAAGCAGACCAATCTTTCTTTTTTTTTTTGAGGAAGATTAGCTCTGAGCTAACACCTGCCCCCAATCCTCCTCTTTTTGCTGAGGAAGACTGGCCCTGAGCTAACATCCATGCCCATCTTCCTCCACTTTATATGTGGGATGCCTGCCACAGCATGGCTCGACAAGCAGTGCGTGGGTCCACACCCGGGATCCAAACCGGCTAACCCTGGGTTGCTGAAATAGAATGTGTGAACTTAACCGCTGAGCCACCGGGCCGGCCCCAGACCAATCTTTCTTAACTAGGTGCCTGAGAGCCACACTGAAAATTTTCCTCACAGAGAAAAGGCAAAAGGAACTGCATTACAGCTCAACTTCTCCCTTTGCTCAAACCTGCTTCTTCCCCTCCATCCCACAGAGGGTGGTCCCGAGGCTCTCCCTAATAGATCCCTGAGTGAATCTCTCTCAAGAACCTGCCTTCTGAGGAACCCTACCTGTGACATTACCACTACTCTAAATCTGGTCCAAGGATGGCTTCTCACACAGGGAACTCAACTGTTCTCGAGGGATTCCACTTTGGATCTGTCCATGAGACAAAATTATTGTTATTTCAGTGTGTCAACTAATTATTAGGATTTTACAAGTATGCTGAAGAATGGGAAAGATTAAGTACCAAAGTATGTTAATGTTATATCACAAAGAAAAGCTTACCTCTGAATCCCTGCTGTTTGCCAGCTGTTTAATTCAGGCATGATACTTAGCCTTCTGGAGCATTTCCACGTCTGTCAAGTGGGAACTACTGCCTAGGTTCCCTGCCTCAGATACCACCAAGACTACAGAGCTACTATTAGGTTCATCAAATTTCTGTCTATTGTAAACAGCCTAAGTGCAGTCAGTATTAATAGAAAGAGAGGATGTCTCTATGACTTACCTGGATCCTGAATAAATTTACTTCTATCTTTTGATAATACAGTTGATCTCTGAACAAATGCTGCCAGGACCATTGCCTTGCTTTCCACCTTCACCTCCTGCTCCTCTTGACACAGTATACAGGTAACAAACTGTCTCTGTTCAGGGACCTGAGTTTGTGCTGGGCCCAATGCTGTAAGTGTCTTATCTGAAACCACAGGGCTGCAATAAAAAGTTTACGAGTATAATCATTTTAAGCATATACATGAATTATCTTATCTATAGTCAAAGATACATTCATAAACAAATACTACTAAACTCAGGTTTCAAAGATTAATTCTTCTAACAAGAGGCCACAAAATTTACCCATCAACTCTTCTAAATTATTTTAGGGTTAAAAGTCTACTTATAAGGAAAAAAAGCAACATCTTCTCCCAGTTGAGAACCACTGGTCCAGAGATTACAAAACTGTGATTCCTGTTTACCTGTTATCCAGAACAGCGGAGGCAGAGGCATCCAGTTCTAGCGTCTGCTGAAAGAGCTCTTTGTTCTCGTCGATAAAGTGCCGCTGCATCTCAGACATCTGGGCCATGATCTTTTCTCTGCGCAGTCTGGCAATCTCAGCTTTTCTCTTCCTCTCAGCTTTGTCTTTGTCTCTTGAACTCTGAAATTATGCTCCATTTAATTAGACCATTAGATGCTAAAGACATAATTTTCCCTAAAGCAGAAATATCTTTATTGTAAAAACTAAAAACCATTCTACAATTTCACTTATCAAAACAAAAGATTTCTCAATAAACCTATCACAATTAAAAAAAAAATAGACCAAAAAAATTGCCACAGCTAATAAATATAAATAAATAGTGACACATTTCTTGGAATTTACATTTTTGTGAATATCAATTACCAACTTACTGCAGATAAATTTAATTTTCTATAGTGAACTTGCTACAATTTTTCAGTATTACCACACTTTACTTCTTATACCTCTTCCATTATGGTTCCTTCTGTCTCAGCCACAGGACTGGGGGATGAACTCTCCCTTAGCTTCTTAATAGCATTAAACGTCTACGAAAAAAAGTATCAGTTATTCTGAAGCTATGAAACATCATGGAAATTTAAAGATAACAAATACTTAATGTTTCTCACAAAAGGCAGAGTGATGCAGGAAATTTTACCTTTAATATCCACCTAATCATATCTTTGTGGACTTCTAGGTAGGGAGCATTCTGCAGCGTTTCCAGCATGGCTAGTATGCTAGGAGAGTTGTTCGGTGCTTCACCAGGTTCTAAGGTGGAAAAAAAATAAAAGGCACAATAACAACAGCTAACATTTCACAGTGCTTGTTACTATGCACAAGAAGATAAATGAAGTTGCTTATAATATCATTTGCCCATCATTTGATTACAGCTCTACTTATTAAGAGATTTTTAATACTTCTTGAGATTGTAACATATTTGTATACTTTACAAATTGTTAACAACTAGAATGCTTTAATCATTCAAAACTGATGTCTTATACCAAATGACTATTTTAAAAACATAGCCTCCAGCAAAATTAAAAACCCAGCTAAAAGGTCTACCTGAGATTTCACAAATCCAAGAAAAGGAATCTGGATTACAGGGGTGCAGCATGTGTATAGAAATATATCTATTTGTTTTGACTTTTTCTTTAATAAAACCTGGATTCAAACTAAATTTTTTCATCTATGAATTATTTCCTTATTTGAGGAAAAGATACAAAAGCCAAGTCCATATTCTCAAGAGTATATTTAATCCAATATTAGCTAATTTAGTTGTATATTCAGAAATGTCCAATTACTGATTTTCTTGATTTAAGTGCTGCCATTCTGGCAAAACGTTCCTCTTTCCTAAGAGGGGAAGACACTGAACTGCAATCTGTAATACTCTTCCAGACCCAAAACGTTGTGGACACGGACTAGGAATCTGACTCTAATAGTGTTTTAATGATATAAAATATTTAAAGAGAAATATGAGGAATGGTTAGAGAAAAGGATTGTTGAAAGAGAGAAGAAAGAAAGAAAAAGAGAAAGAAAAGAAGAAAGAAAGAGAAAGTGAAGAGAACCTGAGATCGCATAGTGATGAGTGAATGAAATTAAGGAATCTTCTGTGCGGTTATCCTAATGTAAAAGCACCAGAAATCAAGAAGCAAAAGACACAATGGTAATCCATACAAAGAAATACTGGCAGAGAAAGAGTAGGGAAAGGCCAGCACCCACTTCCCTGGATGAGGGCAAAAAGGTAAAAATAGAGATCTGGCAGCAAACAGGACTATTCTTCGCACCCTACCAGAAGGACCTAGTATTCTCTCAGTCATTATGTTTTAGGAAGAAATGGGAGCAAACACGACACTGAACAAAGTTACAGAAATAATCCTTTGCAATCAAGGAATTCATAAATTCCTACCATACTAACATAAATTCATTTAAACATCTCAGCAAATGGTTGATGGCAGGTCTGGGGCAGGGAAAGTAAACGATGAGCCCGGGACATCTTGTGTGTCAAAAAGCAAGGTAGTGCTTAAATATTAATGGGGTTGGGACACAGAAGCCAACTGAACAAACTTCCACTGACCAAACTGGCAGTTTGACCATCAAAAGGAATATTGATTATAAGTGACTATAAAACACTCAATAAATAAAAACTCAAGAGTATTACTAAAAAAACCCCCACAAAAATCTAAGCAAACAAAAAGGGTTCACAGTTGCCACCACTGCAGCTGTTAGTCTAATTGCTTATTCTGAAACTTAATAAAAGAAAAGCTTTTCTTAAAAGTGAAATATTATGATGTCTAAAACAAATAGTTCAAAAAAGTGGGCAAATATAGCAAAATACGAACTACTGAATCTAGGTGGTAGGGATATGGATGCTTACTGTACAACTCTTTCAACTTGTCTGTAAGTTTAAAATTTTTAATAAAAAGCTAGAAAAAAACATCTCTCTGGCCTTCTAAGAAAAGTCACATTACTTTCTATGCAATGATAATCTAATCCCTTACAGGTAGTTTTCTTACTTTCAATATGTTTTTTAACAGCAACAATTTAAAAATGAAATTCTGATAGTATATTTTGTTTTTAAAATTATATCCTAGAGTTTAAATGTATGTGCTATATTGATTTCAAACTAAGGACTCCTCATTATTTTCTGTTTATGAATTAAAATTTATGTATTTTAAGTATTGTAGGCCTTACGTATTTTTATAAAAATCTATCAAGATCTGATACAGTACCTTTAACACACAGATGAATACACATAGCCTCAGAAATTTGGATTCAATATAACCTATTTAGAACCTATATGATCAAATAAAAGAAGTTATATTACATATTTAAAATCACTGATATCTTGAGTTAGTTTAGTAAGAAGTGTACACATACTTGATATCTTCTGAGTGAAGGTAAATGTTACTACGTGCTCTTCCGTGACGTTCTCTAAATGCTGTTTTTCTTCTTGTAGTGCCATTCCAATTAAATGTAATACCTCAAACATAAAATGTTTTGTATCTTTTAGTAAAACAAAATTCAAGGACATATTTTTATAAGAAATAACAAACAAGAATTTACTATCGAAAAAAGACATCAAACTATTAAAGACTAAGTACAATAAAAAACAATTTGAAATACTAATTTTTATTAAATTCAAACTTTAAACTTCATTTTCTAACAAAGAATTCTCAATAAACAAACAAAAATTTCTATTTCAGCTAGGGAAAAAACTCAATTGCAAATTCTTAGGGTAACTTAAAATTACTACCGGATATGATCAGCAATTCATATAATATATAATTTCTAGTTTTTTCCCCTGCTTCTTCTCCTGAAGTCTGCCCAATACATAGTTCTATATTTTAGTTGTGGGTCCTTCTAGTTGTCATGGCATGTGGGACGCCGCCTCAGCATGGCCTGATGAGTAGTGCCATGTCCGCACCCAGGATCCGAACCAGCGAAACCTTGGTCGGCCAAAGCGGAGCATGCGAACAACCACTTGGCCATGGGGCCGGCCCCTATAATTTCTAGTTTTATTCCATGCCTATACTACAGTCTTAAAAAAATCTTCTAAGAATCAGTGGCCAAATAATTAGAACTGAATGCATCTATCACATAATTACTCAGTCTATAATACTACCTAGCTCAATTTCTCTAAGGACAAAATCTTAATCATCTCAGGAAGAGACACACTTTTGTCTCTAATGCCACATAATTCATAAAGATGTTCGTAGTTCCTTCAGTATATCTCACAAAAAATTCCTTACCAGAGATATCTAAGAAAACATAACTACACTGAATCTATTTGCACTTTTATTGCTCTTATCCTGCTCCCCAATTTTTGAAGGAGATTTGTGTGTGGTGTCTCTGTATCTTTCCCTACACAAAGGTCTACTGTGGGTGTCGGAGACTTGGAAGAACTAGGTTAGGCTGAATGACATAAAGCAAATGTATACATAAGGGAAAGAGTGTTTAATCCTTTTTTCTCCATCATTTCCCAAAAATCTTTTGCTCACACAATCCCGACAGTCTCTAGTATCCCATAGCTCCATGTTTGTACATTTTAAGTGTATGTTTATAAATGGGAGGGGTTGTAAGCATGCACATTTCTCAGCCAATGAGATCCTTAAGCCTGCTGAGACAAGGAGAAGAACAGTAGCTTTGGAGGAAAGCTGGCCTTCATTTGAATCCTGGCTTCACTGCTTTCACAGCTGCACACCTTCAGGAATTTCCTCTGAGCCTAACTTCATTATCTTTAACACAGGGAAAAAAGGCCACCCTCTAGAGTTTTGAGGATTACAAACATTGTATGTAAAAGTGCCTAGCACAGAATAAGGCACAGAGCAGGCTACTTCTATTAATCGAGTAATTATCATTATGTTACTTACTAGTTGATTACCATGGACACGTTAACTGACTCTCACTGAAACTTGACTTGCTCATCTATATAATGGAAAAAGTCGTATCTACTCACAGGGGTGTTGTGTGAATTCAATGAGAGAGTAATTTAAGAATGACTTAAAGCTATAAAGTAAAATAAAAACAAGGTTCTACACTTGCCACTTACTAGCTATAGGACCCCAAGTCTCTGAGTTTCAATTTCTTCAACCGCAAAATACGAATACTGATGAATTCACAGGTTACTTTAGACAATTAAATGAAAAACGTATGTTAAAGATAACATATTACACAAATATCAGAGTACTGCATAAACAAAGACACATAAAGAAAAACAGGTCCAATCAATGAGAGGCAGGGTGGCCAACAGGACCAAGGCAATCACAACCGTGTGGTACAAAAAAATCCACCAGGCTCTCATTTTCATTGTCAGACACACAAGCACTAACAATATCCTATATTTCAAATTAAGATAACACTACATTTTTGTCTTACGGTTTCTGTGTACAGACACTGACAAGAGTATTCTGGCTTTAACTACAAAACCACTAAAATCTAAATAATAAATGTCTTCAAACCTACCCTTTGCAGCATGGACTCAGACCAGGCATATCCGTTGTGCTCTACAGCCCACTGCAGTATCGTCCTCATGATGCACAGCATCACATCTGACTGTAAGATGTTAACCAGGCTTGCAAACAGAGGGCAGAATGGAGGCAAAACTGGAGGCGGAAGTGCTGAAAACAAAGTTATTAGTTTCTTTTGTAGAACGTGCTGAAAAAACAAAAACAAAACTATCCCATTATTAGATACTTTCAATAGTCTTCACTCAAAGAATATTCATTAACATAAATCTTGAGGCTATGTTTTACTTTCTTAAGGTCAGTCAAATGCAAAAAAATAGCTCCATAAATAGCAGTACAAAGGACGGCCTTTCTTTTTCCTGGAAATGTCTTAAGATCTGAGATAAAACCACTAACCCAGAGGTGACTCAGTCGAGTACTTCTATATTAGCATATTTTGAGTCCTTTGAATGTTCCCTTGGAAAGCCAATACTTCAATCTTCTACTTCAAGCATAATCATTGTAGTCAATAGAAAACAACGTTTAACAAGTAACAGAGAATTACATGAGACTTTTGGAGAGATTAAAAATACCTGTATCTTCTCTATTTTGTCTTTTTAATTTCCGTTGAGCTTCCTCTGCCTAATAAGAAAGACAGCAATTTGGACAGGGAATTATAATACAAAACGACCTAAGACCTAGGACTACCAGCATAAGTTAATCGTTGTCATGTTATCTTCTGATTTTAGAAGATCCTTTCCCTTGGCTTTGTAGGCCCCTTCAAATTGACGCATAAAGTTAATCTTTCTTTCCCCACTAGAAGAATCCCCCAAATAAGCTCTTTCCTGCTTTAAAATGCAGGAGGAACAGATACAAGCAACACCCAAAACTCTAAGTTTGAGCTCTGTGACATGCATCAAAAACTAAACACAAGTTTCATGTTTCAGTTTTTGTTAATGACAGTTTCTGAAGAAGTATTTTAAGAGAAGACTGCAAAATTTAACTAGTCAAGAATGATTAGGAAAATTCCATAAGTCGCTATGGAAAAGCATAATGTTAAGTAGTAACAATTCTGAAATAAGTCAGCTGATTATAATACAGGTTGACAATTTGTCTTCAAAAGCCAGTAAAAAGCCAATAAAATACATACAAGTATATACGTGTGAGTAGGTATATAATCATATAGAGCTTATATGTGTATGCACAAAACATTGAAGAGAAAACCAAAAATGTTAAGTAGTGGTATTATAAGTAATCTGTACTTTTTCCTTTATATATTTTTATATTTTCAAATTTCCTACAATAAAAATATATCATTTTTCAATCTGAGAAAAGCAGTAAAAAAAAACACAAAACAGGAAAAAAAACAAACCCCAACTCTCCCTCACTACATTTTTAATTTTCCCAATTACCTTGGACTGCTCTGCCCTTGAAAAGTGATAGAAATACAAATTGAACTCTTTGGCGCACTCCGGTTTCAGTTCGTACATGCCTCGTCCTGTTAATCCAGGCTTCCTATGAAAAAAAGATCCTTAAAATATTATTACTAAAGTCATACGCCAATTCATGAGACAGTCTTAGACTACAAAATAAGAAAGAGAGCTCTTATACACTGCTGGTGGGTGTAAGCTGGTACTATTTTCTGTCGGTTAATCTGCACTCTATACTCAAAGCCCTGTGTGCATCCGTTTTACCCAGCACGTCCATTGTCAATTTACTGTCTTAACAGGACAAGTGAATGTTACAGTCACTGTAGTGGCAACAATTCAAAGATTAACAACTGGGAATAGGTACACACATTACGACATCTCCAAACAATCAAAACCATTAAAAGTGATGTTAATTTCTGTATTTTTACATGTAAAGATGTCTGTGATAAGTTGAAACCAAGCGGAAAAAAGTAGGTACAATTTTAGGGTTCAGAGAATCTTTTCTATAGTTTTTTCTATATTTTTCTAAAAGCTCATATTGTCTTTATAATCAACAAAAATAAAGACATTGCCAATGGGGTAGGGAGAAAGAAAAACAGGATTAAGAAGCGTCTCATCAACCGGGGATTAACTGGTTTACTGATTGGGCAACACACTGGACACCAGAGAAGGCAGCATTCAGAGGCCATCCCACAACTTAGGCAGCACATTCAAAAGGAAACAAAGAAAGCAATTTTAAGAAGGCTCAGTGCATTTACCGGATCACCTGCTTAGGTTAATTTCATTACCTGAAACTATAAGCTATGAACACTTGGTCTGAACAGAATGAAAATCGTCAAAAAGCTACTTTAACTTGCTGAGCGCAGGGCCAGATCATAAAACCGAAATGCCAGTCAGAAATCTAGCTCAGAATTAATAATTGAATATGTTTGTCACTCTCTGCAAGCAACAAATTCATTCTCAGTTTCATCAAAGGAAACACTCTAAGGAAAATGAATGTATAAAAAAATTGAATGTGAAAAAATCAGAAGTAAACTCACTTGAAATGGGCAACTGCTTCAATTACACTCTCCATGCCAGTCTCCTTGTTCTCCTACAAGTACAGGAACTCAGTGAGCGTGTTTCACGTAAATAATAAAATCCGCCAGCACTCTGAGCACTGTGCTTTCATCTCATTAAGCCTCACACAGCAACTCTACAAAGCGGGTATACTATTACCCTGATTTTTACAGATGAGGATTCCATAGTAAACACAATGATTAATACACAATTAGGGGAACTTATTTGGGTAAGCTAACATTCATTCAGATTGATATCATTAATAAGTCATTATGGAATCAAGGTGACAGCTTTCAAAAATAAAAACAAGGGGCTGGCCCCATGGCCAAGTGTTCAAGTTCACGCGCTCTGCTGCAGGCAGCCCAGTGTTTCGTTGGTTCGAGTCCTGGGCGCGGACATGGCACTGCTCATCAAACCATGCTGAGGCAGCGTCCCACATGCCACAACTAGAACGACCCACAACAAAGAATATACAACTATGTACTGGGGGGCTTTGGGGAGAAAAAGGAAAAAATAAAATCTTTAAAATTAAAAAAAAAATAAAAACAAAAATACAAAGTATACGTAACATTAATGTTTAAACAAAATTTATGTAAGACATTTGTAACATTTTGTCAAATAGTTACACTAATTTCCTATCTATTGTTAGTAAAACAGCATTTCCCAAATCATATCCCATTCATGACAAAATGTTGATAGGAACTCTACGAATAGAGAACTCTCTGGTCAAAAATGTTTGGTGAATACAGCTCCCATCACTTTGTACAAGGCATGTACCACTTTTAAAGTGCTGTTTTAAATTTTTTTTTTCAAGACTGGCAGCTGAGCACCTGAGCTAACATCTGTTGCCAATCTTTTTTTTTTTCTTCTTCTTCTCTCCAAAGCCCGCCAGTACACAGCGGTATATTCTTGCTGTGAGTGCCTCCGGTTGTGCTGTATGGAACACCGCCTCAGCGTGGCTTGACCAGTGGAGCCATGTCTGTGCCCAGGACCCGAACCAGCAAAACCCTGGGTCAGGAAGTGGAGCACGCGAACTCAACCACTCGGCCACAGGGCGGGCTCTGGCCCCTGTTTTAAATTTTATTCTTCCTTATCCTAAAGCCTAAGTGAAACTACAATTGCTTCCTTATCTAACAACTCAGGATTCATTTCCTGCATTCAAAAGTACAAATAATTTTTATCCTGACTAGATATTTAGTGATATTGAGAAATTACTAATTATTGTTTTTTCAGGTGTAATAATGGTACATGGATAGGTTTTTCTAGAGGCCTTTACCTTTTAGATCAGTTTTCTCAACCTTGGCACTATTGACATTTGGACCAGATAGTTCTCTGTTGTGGGGGTCTGCCCTGTGCACTGTAGGGGATTTAGCAGCATCCCCGGCCTCTGCTCATTGGACACCAGCAGCACCACACACCCTGCCCTGAGAAGTGACATTGCCAAATGTCCCCTGAGGGCAAAATCATCCTTGGTAGAGAACCACTATTTTAGATATGTACAATTCTACTTATAGGTAAAATGGTAAACCTGGTATCCTTTACAAAATAATCCAGGGGGGGTGAGGGGATTAGTGGTTGGGGTATAGACAAAACAACGCTTGTCATCTGGTGAAGCTGGTGATGGGTTTGTTATACTATGTTTTCTATTTCTATAGATGTTTGAAATTTTTCATGATACAAAGTTTAAAAGAAGTATTACTATGCAACAAATACAGGTTTAAGTTCCAGAAGAATGAACATTAAGGCTGAAAGTTTTGATCTATGTTTCAAATTTGGGAACAGATTTTGAAAAGCTTCAACGCAAATACAAGTCCTTTCCCAACTCTGTGTGTTGGGTTTCTGAAAAGCCCCATCACTGACATATAGGTGGCTGAGGAACTTAAGATCCAGGGAGGGAAAGCAGTTACAATTAACCCATGAATGTCCATGTGAATATTATTTTACATTCACTAAAATGAAACAGATGGCTCACTAAGGAGAGTCTTCAGATGCTTCAGAAGGGAAAAGCTCCGGACAACTTTAGTTTACTCAACACAGCTGAGGAGGTGTTTCTCACTCTCACTTCCTTAATATACTAGGTTATAAAGCATTATCTTTACCACGGCAATTTTGTCTTAAAGACTCTACAACAACCCCTCTCCAATGGATACGTAAATTCGGTTCTAAGGATCATATTTACTTTTATTCAGTCTTTATCTCTTTCAAGGTTTCACTGTATAAGATTCTATTCCCATGCTGCTTTCCATTCCCAGTCTCTAATATTCTTTTTCTAGTTATTTCTAGTAAGAGTGAAGAGAGTTACACATGTCCTAGAACTGCCGTTTTTACAATTACGGAAAACGTATACAGAAGTGAAGGTATACGTACATATTAGACTGACAGGTAGGGAAGGATTTCTATAATTTTCTTTTTTAAAATATAGGTACTTACATCTTCAGGTAAAGACTTTACCAATTCACTGTGAGCCATAGGTTTGATGCTCAGCTGATGGATAATCTCTCGCTTAATGTCATCTGTAGCATTTACCTGTCCAACTCCAGGACTAAACCTCTCTCCTGTCAACAGTGAGAAAGTATATATACACATATTTAACATAATCACAACGCTTATGTGATATCTACTTTTGTGTGTGTGTGTGAGGAAGATTGGCCCTGAGCTAACATCTGTGCCAATCTTCCTCTATTTTGTATGTGGGAATCTGCCACAGCATGGCTTAATGGTGGTGCATGGGTCTGCACTGGGGATCCGAGCCCATGAACCCTGGGCCACTGAAGTGGAGCGCACAAACTTAACCACTACACCACTGGGCCAGCCCCTAACATATACTTATAATTCATGCAACACAATTATTCTTCTTTCTGCGCAAGGGGATAGCAATGACTGGTCTTGTAACAAGCTAGAGTGAAAGCAGCTCCCAACCATCCTTCTGAGTGTCAGACACAACAGGTGAGTACCGGCTTTAGGCAGTGGAGAGAGACCTGGGATCAGAAGGTGGGAAAGGATCAGATGTAGTCAAGAATTGGTACAGCAGTAGAAGTACCAGTAGCCTAGAAACTGCTTTCACTCCATCTGCCACATGGTAGCAGGGAGGGAGAGCCTTCCTTTGTCCTTCTATCTAGTGGCAAATAAGATATCACTCCTGACAGTAGCCAGGATTCTCTGCTCTACAGACTGTAGAGAGTCCGAAATAGCAGGGGAGATGGGAGAAGGTAAAGGATAAAAGAATAGGAAAGTTGGACGAGGCAGGACTGAAAATACAGGCAATAAGAAAAGCAATCTCCATCTATTAACCACAGGTCTCCATTAGCCTGGAATTATTATATCTGAAGTCAAGACGCTTTTGCACCACAAAACCATGGAGGGAAACATAGCTGAGACAGAAAGTAACAGTAGAGAGCTCCTAAATATCCTATTCTTGCTTGCAAAATTCTCCTGTTCCCTTTCTTTTCCCTCCAATACAAAGAGTCTTCCAGTTATTCTGCTCCAGCAGTTGTACCCTTTCCTCTTTCCAGAGCACCACAGCGCAGCTACTCTCCACATTACAGTAACTAGAGGGGAGAGAAAGATGGATACTCGAATCTCCCTCCCTGGAAACTGGGTAACCACTCAAACAAAAGAAACATAGCTCAGAAATCCTGAACTATTTGCTATCACAAAAGCCAAAATCATTTATAAATGTCTCAAACAATCCAAACTTACCTACAAGCATTATAATGAGGTATAGCATTTCTTCTATTAGAGTGTTGTTTTGCTGAACTACATCCTGTAACAAGTGAGGGGAGATAAAGTTCAGAGATAAGAATATGAATACTGTATTATCTCCGATGATTAACATAACCAAAAATAGTGAACTATGCTTCTTTAATGAGTTGTGGTCTCATAAAACATGCTCTTACCTTGTGGGTAATCTCAGAACTAAATCTTTTCCCATAGTCTGGAGTACTGAAAATCTGGTAAAGTTCAAAGCGGCTGAGCATTATCATCAGGAAGTGATTTGGGTCCATCATGGACACACCTGTCTTTTTTTTTTTCATGTTTGAGATAAAGGAAAAGAAGAAGGTCAGAAGGGCTACTAAACAAGTAGTGAGAGAGATTTTGATCTGCACAAGAGCAAGCAGCTACTTGTTCACCAATCCCAACAAAAGATGGAAACCCGTTTAGCCCCAATCCCTTCTTGTGGCAGCTACAAGTGTGGACAGGACTCTAAGCTGGTAAAACAGAACAAAGCATAAACCAAACCCAACGAAAACCCCCTAGACCCACACATCAGAATAACATGGATTATACGTGCTCTTTCTTTTTAATGCTTTGAATTAATTGTATCCCTATGAATTCAGTTCCAAAGTTTATTTCAGGGTTCTCATCACTGCCTGGCATAAGGACTCGGAGAGAAATGTGGTATGGCAATTAAGCTTCTAGTATTTTTGAAATACATCCTATTAAACTCTTATCAAGAACTCTCAAACTAATTTTTGGTGATAAACGCTATAATAACTGAAGCGACAAGTTTTAATTCTCCTTTAATTCCATTTCTATAAAGGACTCTAAATCAACTTGGATTTCAATTCATTTAGAATCAATAATTTTTCTCGAAATTTACATTTTATAACTTTTTCTGTTATTTCTAAATCCATTCACCGATAATATGGAAAAATGACTATGTGACCAGCATTGTGGTATGCATAATGGACAAAAAAGGGAACAAATAACAGTTGGCACAGTTTAGTGGAAGGGAAGAAAAATAAACAGGCAACCACACTGCAGAGTCATGAACGCTATGGTGGGGAGAAGCCTCATGGTACGGGCCCTCCCAAAGGGATACTTAACCACGTTTTAGTGTGTCAGGAACGGCTTCCTGGAGAAAGTGACACTAAAATAAACACTAAGACATGGAGGAAAATCAGTTACTACGTAAATGGAAAAGAAAGGAGGTGGGGTGGGTAATCTAGGCAGCAAAAGAAATAAACATGCAGAATTTAACACTTAGGAGAGGGGACGATAAATCAGGGCGTTTTACCATAGTTAAGTATTGCAGAGCTTGAAAATCAGTTTAAGGGGTTTGGGTTTTTAACCAGAGGACAACGAAGAAAGAATGGCTTTCAGGTTTCTGTCTCTAACAACTGTTTAGACTGTTGAACAATTCACCACTGCAGGGAAGCCAAGTCAGGAAGAAGGTATGGAGGAAACAGGAGTTATTTTGAATATGTTAAATCGGAGATGTGCCCAGGAAATCTAGACAGCAATGTTCTATAGGCTGCTTGGAGCTCAGTAGACAGGGCTAGGCAAGAGTCACAGATTTGGGAGTGATCATAAGTGATTGGGTTCTGTGGAAATAACAGGAAGAAAAACACTCCCCACAACCTTTAAGTTTAATGCTTTTAATTCATTACCTGAAGCATTACTATATCCTTGTCAAACATTTCACGTCTGCACTTCACATTATGGTAGTAATAAATCTAAAAAAAATAATTATATTGGGTAAATAGGTTTTTATTTGTGCAGCTCCCTCCTCTCCCCACTCCCCAAAAGAGCACAGGGGTTTTGTCTAAGTGTGTGTAACCCACACACGTGTGCATGCACACACACACACAACCTGGTTTCCTCAACAGTTAATACTGTCTTAGTAGAGATTAATTAATTAGAAATTTCCAGATTACAGTGGTCACTCCATGGTTCACATTTTGCAGCCAACTTTCTGGGTCTCCCAACAAAGTTGCTTCTATAAAGTTTATAGCTACGAAAAATAGGAGAAAAAACCTACACCAAGCTTTGGTGAGGTTTAAAAATTAAAACTTCATGGGGGCTGGCCCTGAGACCGAGTGGTTAAGTTTGCATGCTCTGCTTCTGCGGCCCAGGGCTTCAGTGGTTCAAATCCTGGGCGCGGACATTGGTTTAACATTACAATTATCTTCGGAGACAATTTTAACATAGATACTCAACTTTCAATGACTAAGTACACTGAAAATTACAACCTGCTTTGAAGCCAAGGAATGGATTGAAAACTCTCCATAGAATTAAAAAACTTACCTGGTTTACTAGAGAGAAGCCATTTCTTCTCCACATTCCTGCATGTACTTGGGCACATAAAACAAGACATCTAAGAGGGTGTTCTATCAACATGGGTGGGCTCAGTTCACTCTGCATATAGAAAAAAACACAAAAATCCCAACTTCATAAAGAAGACTGGCTGATAGAGATGGAAGCTTTATATAAAACACAAGTTAAAATTATGTTATGGGATGTTTGTGTGATGGTTAACTGTATGTGGCCCCAGGTTTTGATTAACACCAGTCTAGACGTTGCTGCAAAGGTGTTTTGTAGACGTGATTAATATTTAAATCAGCAGACTGTGAGTAAAGCAGATTACTCTCTACAATATGGGTGGGCCCCATCCAATTAGTTGAAGGCCTTAAGAGAAAAGACTGAGGTCCCCCCAAGACTGAAGAAATTCTGCTCCCAGATTGCTTTTGGACTTTGGGCTGCAACGTCAACTCTTTCTTGAGTCTCCAGCCTGCCAGGCTGCCTTGCAGGCATGTTTCAGACTTGCTAGGCCCCATAACTGCATGAGCCAATTCCTTACAACAAATCAATCTCTTTCTGTCTCTTTCTCTCTCCATTCATACATGCACATGCACACATACACATGTACAAATACACACACTCTCTCTCTTTATTGGTTCTGTTTCTCTGGAGAACCTTGACTAATAAAGTTTGTTTCAAAGTGATTTCAAATACATGGAACATAATAAATAAGCACTGATTTTTAAGTGTTAGTATTACTTACTAGAGGTAGGAGCTCTGGAAATTTATATGCCACTTCACTTTTGCTTAATAATACATGCAAACCTGCATGGAACAACAAACAAAAAAGTATTTCTTTAAGTGAAAATCATTTAGGAAAAAAACCCCTAAATAATCACTCAACTTTATATCTAACTTCTTTTCCCTTTCTCTTTGGGACACTATCATGTTACAAATTAAGATATAAAATGAACTGCATCCATAAATGAAGCTTTTGAATTGTTATTGTCATGAACCTCTGTATCAAAGGCACATTAGAACTAGAGTCTTAATTACATGTACCAACATACACTGATGACATTTTATAGAAGTAAATGCTAGACATACAAACATAGCAAAAGCAGCTACTTAACTATCAAAGCAATTTATATACGTTATACCAACTTTAAGAGTCACACTTCACTGGGCCATGAAGTTTGTTCCCAATTGAAGTATATAGTAGTGAGAGACCCTTTTGGCAAGTGAACAGAGAAACTGGCCCTGCGATTCATGGTCTGCACTGATCTTGACCTCAGAACTTCCAGTACAGGATCAAGGCCTCTTTAGTTACTAACTGCAAAGGGCTCTTTTACAGCTTAACCTTAGTTTATTCTGCTAAGAATTAACTGTCCTGCTTATGTTGTTGTCTAAACAAAGAACACTTTTTATAATCTTATCAATAGCTGTTGGCCACTTGGTCAAGCCTGGTTTGAGGCTTTTCTCATCCTAGGAGACCTGCATTATGAATCCCATTCTAATAACTTGTACTCAACATCTGCCACTCAAGATCCATCAGCACACACTCCAAGTTGTTCCTGAACTGTTTTGTGTATATTTACTTAGCTCTCCAATTACATAACAAGCATTCAGGCCAAGGTTTGTAAAATACAGTGAGACAGAATGCTCAAAGTTGGTCACTGAGAAGACGTGTGGGAGATAAAGACCTAGGCAGAAACTAGCACATTTTCAGAGTCCTGGCTATTTTCCTTATTTTCCGCATCAGCTTCCACCCAGAAAACCAGACTGATAAAGGCAGAAAAGATCAGCAGCTGAGCTGGAGACAGGACCACTTTCCTGCATCCCAGCTGACCACTCTCACAGCACCATGCTGCGCCTGCCTGTGCTGAGGAGCACCAGTTCAGGATGCTCACAGCACTCACAGAAACAAAACTGGGCCTGAACAAGTCACAGGATTAAGAATCTTCTTCCCACAACCACAATTTCATTCTAGGTACCTATTTATTGTTCTATTTATTATACTATTGATATTCAGATGTTTAAGTTCTCTTAAATCATCACAATTTCAAGAAAAATCCAAAAGACTGTTGCGATGCTAGGGTCTATCAGCAGGATAATGTGATAATGCTCAGAACAAAGAAAAAATGCCTTGAGAAACAAAAGAGGGATCACTACAGATTCCACAGACATTGAAAGGATAATAAAGGAATACAATGAACAACTCTATGTCCACAAATTTGGTAACTCAGATGAAATAGCCAATTTCTTGAAAAATACAAACTACTAAAATTCACACAAGGAGAAACAGATAAACAGAACTGGCCATTTATCTATTGAAGAAACTGAATCAATAATTAACAACCTTTCAAAAAGGTAAGTACCAGGTTCATATGGTTTCACTGGTGAATTCTACCAACCATTTAAGGAAGAAATGATACCAATTCTGCACAATCTCTTCCACACACACACAGAACCACTTTCACATCATATTAAGTTACAGAGCCACTCACTCAAGATAAATTACAAATTGTGCAATGAGTAAAAATAACTACCTTTAGAATTTCTCCTTCCTACTGTCTGAGTTAAAAATGGAACTAAAAGGAATGTGAGCAGGATAAGAATTTCTGCAATCAAGAAATGTGGAAGGAAGCTGTACTGAAATGTGTCTGCAGAGATGGCCAAGTGCATATTCAAAGTTTTTGGCCGCTGCAAGGTGGAAACTTCAAATATTCTACCAAGTATAAATGGCCTGTAAATCAAGTGCTTATGATTAAAAAAACTATCACTTCAATTTGGGACTCACTGCTTAAAAAGGCTATCAATAAATGAGTAAGTAACAGCTTAGAGGGAAAGAAAATCTAGGCTGGTTTCTTTTTTTTTTCCTGCTTTATCTCCCCCAACCCCCCCGTACATAGTTGTATATCTTAGCTGCAGGTCCTTCTAGCTGTGGGATGTGGGATGCCGCCTCAGCGTGGTTTGATGAGCAGTGCCATGTCCGCGCCTGGGATTCGAACCAAGGAAACACTGGGCCGCCGCAGCAGAGCACGCAAACTTTACCGCTCGGCCACAGAGCCAGCCCCTAGGGTGGTTTCAATTTATCAGCAATCACTTAAATGACAGACCAACTTGAGTTGTAACAACACAGACTTTGAAGCTGGGCTGAGTCAAACAACAAAAAGTGGTATCTGCAGTTAAGAAGGCTGAAGAGGCACTATGGTACAGTCATTATAAACACGGCTTCTGGGGCCAAACTGCCTCAAAACTCCTTGTCTGACTCCTTCTGCCATGTGACACTAATAAGCAAGTCACCTCTGTGTCTCAGTCTTCCCATCTATGAAACAAACTTAATAATGACACCTACTTTACAGGACAATGCGATGAGTAAATAAGTTAATGCATTTAAAACTCAGAATAATGCATAGTAAGTATTCAATAAATATTAACCACAAGCAACAATTTAAAGATAATTTCAGGGTTCTTTTTGGGGGAGAAATGCTTTACCTGCGAGTAAGCGAGACACTGGGAGGTGAATGCTAACTTTTTCTTGGGAAACACAGTATCTGATAGTTTCCACTGAATGTCCACAAATGCTTAATGTGATTGGCTGTTCACCATCAGTAAAACCACCATGGCACTGCATCAATACTGTAAGGCATTTCTTGTAAGCTTCAATTAACACTTTTTCCTAAAAAAGAGGAGTTCCTGTAAGTTACTCAAAAGGCTGAGTTTCTACAACATTGAATAAGCATCTCAAATTTGACATGAGTAAGTACCTCAAATATCATCACGGGCAAAATCAAACTCAAATCTTCCCTCCCCAACTTGGTCCCTCTTCCAGTGCCCCGTCTCAGCGAATGACACCTCTATACAGCTGTGAAAATCTGTAAGTTATTCCAACACCCTCCTTTCCCTCGTTCCCCAGTGTCTCATCTGTTACCAAGATGGCAATTTCATCTCTTAAATTTCTCTCAAACCTGGCCACTGATTATGTCTAGTAACTCAAAGGAAAGCCAAGCATCTCTCTATTAAATTCCCTGCTTCTGCTCTTGCCTCCATCTATCCATTCTCCACAGAGTAATCTTTAAAAACATGTAAACTGGATTATGTCACTTTTCGGCTTGGTAGTCTCTAATGGCATCCCACTTCAATTAGAACAAAATCCAAACTTCCTTCCATGGCCTCCATGGCCCTGCAAAGTCAGGTTTCTGTCAGTTTCTCTACTTTCGACCTCTGTGCTCCAACCAGAGCCTTCTCACAGCTCCCAGAACCACCACACTCCTCCTCATCACAGAGCATGATGCAGCTATCCCTGACTCAGGGATATTCTTGACTCTTTGATGAGTTAACTCTGACACATAAATTCAGATCTCATGGAGGCCTTTTCTGACCTCCTAACTTATACAGGCTCTTATCTAGATCTTATAGCCAAAGGAAGGCCAAAATAATTTTAAGACACAAAACAACTGTGCCAATAGTAAAACTTTATTTGTGGATAAATTTATAAACTATTCTTTTTATATGGTCAAAATCTAGATGAGATTATGGAAAAATGAAGATAATAACATAAGAGAAGAGAGAGTATGGATTATTTTCTCCTCTATCTATTTTGCAAGTTTTTTCTAAGGCTTCAGAATTTTAACTTTTACTGAATTAATAGGTTAAAGAGGAAAATAGGTTGTCTTATGAGCTAAGTATCACCACTATCCTCTCCAAATCTCCTCAAAATTTACTTAGGAAGCTGTTTATTACCCCTCCTCTTCCATTTATCTCCTACTCCGGGAAGAAACTCACGTCTAAAGCACACCAGTCTTGCATCATTGAAATGACATGTGTTAATTTCATCTGCAGCGTGAAGGCTGCTTCCCACTCTGGTTCCATTTCAATATGCTGTCCTACTTGACGTGTAATTGGATCCATTCCCTTAAAGGAAGTGGAAAGATTTTACATGAATTAAAATTGTATTTGTTCTCTTACCTGGGAACTTAAGAAATAATGTAGAAGAAATATATATTGGGTACAAAAATATATAAAGTAAAAGTTTTAATAGGAAACTTCAAGTAGTATGAGAAGTCCAATTTCTTAAATTATATGTTTACATAACATTCTCTAAAATATAAATTTTAAAAATCCAAGTACAGAACGAATTATTTTAGAGGCAATCTTCTATAAGTTTTAGACAATAAAATATATACTTCACTGCAACAATCCTTTAAATTCCTTTTTAGCCCTATCATCTACAGAAAAAACTGTTAAATTTGATAGACTTTAAAAATGTTATTAAATTTATAAATATATTTTATAATATACTAGAATAAAGTTTTAAAACTTATTCCTCTCTGCAATTTTCATAGACACTGAAAGAAAGCAAAACAAGAAAAAGAAACAGTATTTAAACAGAACTGATTAAATAACAGAAAATAGAGGACACCTCAAGTATTCAAAACGACGAAAGTAGATACTGTTTCTATACATACAAGAAAAAACACAGAAGTATTATAATAGATTAAATGACCTGAACCAACACAGGAACTAGAATACTTTCTAAAAACAATAGGTCAACTTTGCTTATTCCTTTCTTAAGAAAGCCAGATGGCTACTAAAAGAATCATAATGGTACTGCTCAGATTTTTTGAGATGTCATCTATCTTCTTACAGTTAAAAGCAGTTAAATATACCAGTTGGTTTCTGCTTTTAGATTCTATTATGTTTACAGGAGTGTTTCCAAAAAAGGGGGGGGGGAGTTCTATGCTGTATCATATGACGTCAAGGAGAGAAAAAGAAATATGGAAACATTGAAAACAAACATTATAGTTTCATAAACAACTAACTTGACAATACTTCCATGTAAGCATATTAGAAAAAACAAACTTGCAATCCCCAAACAAAGAACATTAATAGTAATCAAAAGAATAACCAAATACAAAAGAACAGTAGATGCCAGAACCTTTGCTGGGATCTCATTCGCTCTACACCTTTCTAAGAGTTTCCAATTAAAGAGGAGCTTCTTGGTCCAAATTGTAGCCATCCAAATTATTCTTTTGGAAATGTGCCCAAAATGAAAAAAAAAAATGCATAGACAGAAAGGTGTTCAGTTCAATAAACAGGAACAACAACAACAAGCAAAGAAAAAAAAAGGAAAGTGAGTGCTTCTCTTTTAAAATGTGTCAGCTTATACACACCTGCATACATTTGAGTAATTCCAAAAAGGCATCAAATCCTTCTAGGAACTTCTCCCTCAGATCATCTGACCATTCAGTTGGTTTGCTAATTAATACATACCTGAAAAGGTAAAAATAGCAATGAATATATGGGTAAACGCTGCCATTTTACAAGTTCCAAGTGGTTTGATAATTAAACAAGAGCTTACTTGAGATCTAAAATAAGGCTCTGAACTCTCCTAAACTTGAAGGCCTGTAAAGCAGTATATCGTTCAAACTGAAACCTGCCCTGGGTATCTCGATGTCTCAAGTGATCCATAAAAGTCTTAATGATAATGGTCATCAGGTTTTCTTCTGTGATGAGCATCCGAGCCTAGAACAAAGTGTATCACAGTACATGGTAATCAAAACGTAGTTAGCAGAAAGCTAAAAAAAGCCAACGCTGGTTAGCTCTTTCAGTTTAAACCTTCTCAACACAAAAATATCATATCATAAACATATTACTGTGCATTTCTAAATAATAATTACTTACTCCAATTGCCACGTGTATGAAGTAACAACTACATCAAGGAGAAAGATCCAGAATGTTAGGAGACAGATCCAAGGCTCATTATTTAAAGACAATTCAGGGTGGGGGGTCTGAACCAGTTGCAAATTTTCCTTAACTGAGACATTTTAGACACCTAAAATGGTATGGTATAATTATTCTAGGATCCAGAGGTTTGTATCACAGATTCTGTAGAACTCAGTATGAAACTGTATTGCCTCAACTCCTTAGTTGAGATTTACTTTTTGTTTTGTTTCTATGTATAGATATAAATATCTATGTATTTTTGAATAAGCAAATACATTTAAATGATGCAAAAAACAATAGGTAAAAAGTAAGACTCAGCTCCCGAGGTCCCCCTTGCAAAGGCAATCTCAGCAGTTTTCTCGCATACTCTTCCAGAGATGGTGTACGTGTGTATAATATATACATATCTGTATTTTTACACACATATACGCACTTATAATACTTAATACTTAATACTTAATAATGAATTAAGTGTTAATAAGTAGATATAAGTACAGATATGTATAATTATATCTATCTCTCCCCCTAAAGGATGGCATGTTACAAACATTGTCCTGTACTTTCATGTTCCACTTGATATATTTTTAGAGATTATCCCATATTAGTTCATATAAATTCCCTCATTCTTTTTAACTATCACCAGGTACTCCTTTCTATCATACTTTATTTAGCCAGGCTCTTCCTGGTGAGATATTCGGGTTTTTTTCCAGCCCTACGCTATTTATTACAAAAGATGCTACAAGAAATATCTACTATGTACAGTTGCAAGGACATTTATAGAATAATTTCCTAGAAGTGGAATTACCGGGTTAAAGTGTATGTACATTTTAAATTTTGACTGATGTCACCAAACTGCCTCCTCAAAGCAGCTTACCAATTAATATGTCCATCTACAATGTGCCTTTCCCCTCATGCCCTCAATAACATAATGCAACTTCAAACATTTTGGTCTTCGCCATTCTGATGGTTTTAATTTGCATATCTTACTATGAATGAAGTTGAACATTATTTCATAACAATTTGCATTTTCTTTTCTGCTCCACAATGAAGTCAGAAAGTCTAATATTATTTTGAATACTGCATTATTACTCAGACATAAAAGACCATAGATGTCCTCCCAATTTTTAGCCTAAGTTCCAGGGTATTACTGGTGCTGGGCGACCACTTAACCAGCTCTCACATTAGTCAATATCAGGTAATTAGCGACACAGAAAGTTGCATCAAAAAGTAGGACAAAATAATGCAGAAGATAGAAGTCTAAGAACATAGTAAAGTTGTATTCTAACATAGATTTAAGTGCCAAGGTCATGAGATAAGGGGACAACCTATATAGTGAAATATACCTTTGAAAAACTCTTAAATTATCATCACATTGCCAGGACTTAGGCCTCAAGAAGCTCAAAAGTCAACCGGATTAACTTCTATTAATTTTCCTAGACAGTGAAGATTAAGGTCAAGTTTGAAGGAGGGGAGGTGTTCATAGGTTAAGTAAAAAGATTTTGCTTGTTGTTTTTATTTGTTATTATCAGTTGATTTTGAGGAAGTTAAATGAGTATGATGCAATTTCACTGACCTAAGAAAAAACTGTACAGCATCCTTACAAGACTTACAACAGGTAGTAAAAGCAAGATTGGTGGAGAGACAACTGAATACTGGTGGAACGTAAACCTCACCAATCAAGGCACTTATTAGCATTTTCAGTTTAAGACAAATTTTAAAGGAGCTGGTTCATCCACGGCATAGTTTTAGATTGGATTCTAATTGTCTTTACTGGGTGCCAGGTGAAAAAGTCAATAGGGTGGCCCATTAGTACTGTCCCATTAAAATAGGGAGTTAGGCAGGCATTTTTTACTTCTATGAGCAATAAGTGAAACTTAGTACAAGAGCACCCAATCATTGTGATTCAAATGCCTTAGCTACCCTTTCCCTTATTAAGGAGAAGGGGGTTTCTCAAAATGTGAGATTATACACAATATGCTGTCTGTTTCTAACGGATAAATTTGTTAAACTGATCAGCTTCATTTTAATTCATAAGTTCAAAACCTCAGGAAGTACTACGAGAAAGTACAGAAAGCTTAAATGACTTTTTCCCTCTAGACTACATATTCAAGGATATGTTCTAGTACGGTTGAAGGTGTATGAAGTCTGATCACCCATTAATAAAACGTTATTCTATTCAGGAATACACAGATCTTAGTTCCCTATTACTTTAAGGCTTTACTTCTGTTAACGGAAAACAAGAAAGTTCTTCTTAGTCTTTCAGTACTTACAAGTGAAGGAACCGTGAATATCTGAACCGAGAGGTCTGCGATTGAAAACTCTCTGTCGTGGTCATCTGTCACATAATCACTCTGCAAACGCTCATAGTTCTATTAAGAAGGCAAAAAAAGGCAAGGAGTGCCAGCTATCAGTTACAAAGAAAAGGCAAGCACTACTCACCAAAGTAGGTGCGGTGAAGAACTGGACAGACAGAGCAGTCACGGACACTGCTCGCTCGTGATCATCCTCCATAAAATCTCTCTGCAACTGCTGGTAATTCTAAACAACAAGGGGGAGATTCACCTCTAATCCACATCGACCAAATGTTTAAGGATTATAACGAAAAGTCAGTGCTGGAGGAGTCAATAAGGTAACAATGCCATGAGAATGATAACTGGAATGATTTCCACCAATTAAATTCTGTATCAATACTGATTCGCTACACAGTCTTCTGGAGCACAATGGCAGCTGATGAGTTCAAACAGGAGTAACAGCTGCTGAACAGCTGGGATGTCACCGTACACTGGTGGGGCTAAACCACAGCAGCTTTTCTGATGAAACCAGACTTTCATTACTTCTAGATGCAAATCAAAACCAGCCGATGGCTTTTTCAAAGTACACATGTTTGAGCCCAACTCTTGGTGAATATGCTTCAGTAGGTTTGAGAATGGAACACAAACACATGTACTTTGAAAGAGCTCCCCAAATGATTCCTTGCTTAAGAACTCCTAATTCAAGTGAGTAATAATAACAAAAAAAAAAGCAGTTAGCTTAATCACACACTGCTAAAAGGGAGAAGAACATAACTGAAGAATACCAACAACCTAGAGTTCATAATCCCTATATACTTCAACTCAGAGTTCATGATCCCTATATACTGCGTCTGGTATTTTCGCCATAAGCACCTCTGTCCTAGACACCTTTGCCGCAAATATTGTCACCACATAACCAACTGGCTGTAAGGCAATTTTACCATAAAAGATACCTGGTTTGAGTTTGGTTTCAACTAGAAAATATGGTGATAAAACTTACTAGAAGTATGAAGTGAAAGAGTGTAAAGTCAAGATTGCATACTCTACCAGAAAATGATAACCTATTAATTTGCAAATTCTTTGGTGAGCACAGTCACCCCTCCCACCCATCAAAACCAGAAGTTTATCAAGCTATGGCAGATCTAACAGAGGCGGCTAATAATTCACAACATTAATTATCGATTCTTTAGCTAATTTAGACATAAGAGCTTGTTCTCTAACACTGTCTTTACCAAATTTATCATGCAATATTCGAAGTTGGAGGCAAAGGAAGAATCAAGCTCCTCCTCTACCTTCCAAAAAAAGAAATGGTTATGTGGTTTCTAATGTATATAAGTTTCTTGAAAATGGTGAAAATTTTTGGATATTTGATAGGAGAGAACGTGATGTGGACAGAATTTTGCTGTCTGGCACAGAACCTGGCTAGGACGATATGGTGAAATATAAGGACTGGGCATGTGATGGACTATTTAAGTGTAGTCCAGACATGTACCAATGTTTCATTATGTCCTTTTTAATGTCCCTTTTTTGTTGTTGTTATTTTATCTTTTACGGTAAAATTGCCTTTCAGCCAATTAGTTACGCAGTGAAAACACTTGAGGCAAAAATGCTTTCGGCCAAGATGTCTGCGGCAAAGATACTTACTGAGAAAGCACCTAGAACCCATATATATACATGGCCATTTCAACTAAGATTATCTTTTGCTTATACAAATTTTAATAGGAGTAATACCATAATTCACAATGGCACAGGTTAAATTCTTCAATTATCATTTCATATCACACAGACTGCACAGATGGATATTCATATTATCCTGGCAGGTGATGAACAAGAAAAGCCTCACTGCTGGAATTTTATTGTATTGATAAGAGAGAAAAAATCATTTATGAAGTTTCTTAGACTTTAAAATCAACACACTGACATATTACTATTAGCTGCTAATTTTACAAAGCCTGAATATAATCATGGGGTACAGTTACTCTGTATATAACCTGACTATTTTGTTAATCTTCAAAACTGGGAAACTACTTACCTTTGCAAATCGAACGGCAAACAGTTTCTTGTATTTCAAATCCATAAGTAGACTACTCATGAACAACTGATGATACACACTCCTAGCACCTTTTACAAAAAAAGCAGATGTAAGATAAGGATATACCAAACAAGCCAAAAATTACATTTCCAAAATTTTTATATGATCAGTTGTACTTTAATTCTGAAGAGCAAAACTTTACATGTTCCTCAGTATAAAATACTGGCAATTTGTTTCTTAAAAAGTCAGTTTTTCTAAATAAAGTTTTCTAACAGAACTTAAGGTTATTTAATTTGGGTCATGGATTCCAAAATCCGTGTTTTTCCCCCAAAGAATAAAACTACATGTGCTAATTCTAAAAACCATAAACATGTTTGTTAAATACCTTCCCAAATGAAAAAAAACTCGAACATTCCAATTACCTATGTAGGCTCCCCTACACTTTAAAAGCAGTTAAGAGGTTCACCTTTCCACAGTTTGGAGTCACTCAGCATCAACCTGTCCACTAGAGAAGAGTTTTCACCATCTGGCCCTTCTTGTAAACCAACTTGACACAAAATTCGGCGAAGACCATCTTAAAACAAGAAAAAACGCAGTCACAAAACAGTAACTTCAAATATTAAAACAAAATGGCGTTTTAGCAGAAATGTTCAAATGGATCCACAGAGTTTTACAAAAGGTGAAATGTATTCAGAAAAAGTAAACATATTAACTATTTTATTAGCATTTTCACAAAAAGGAGAAAAATTCCAAATCTTACATTATATACCAAGTCCCATTCCAGAATATCAAAATATATGCCTATTAGAAAGGCAATGATCTCTTTAATAAAAGAACAAAGCATCCAAAAACTACAGACATAAACATTGTTCTTTAAGCACCTATGCTAATTAAACCAGATTATAGTAAAATTGCTACACATCCCATGATAACTGAAGGCAGGCATACTACCACTTAAAAGAAAGAATGCATGACCTCTGTACTGTAATGTGTACCAGTCCATTTTATTAATGCTATGTAACTTTACATATTTATTCTTCATTCACTGAACAAAAATTCACTGGGTACCTACTGCTATACTATGTGCAAGGCCCTGAAAGACAAATTCTTATATCTTCTAAATGGTAAATTTAAAAAGTTCTTCAAATATAAGCATTAACATAAACAAAACTTCAATACCTTTTGTTTCATACTTTATAATTAAAATTGTTTTTAGTTTTCTACAAGCATGCAAAATAATCAGGAAAAAATGGAATAACTTTTAAGTTTAATAATAAAAGCCACCAAATAGAAATTATTTACAAGGCTAAAGAGAAAACCTTATTAAAAAACCTTATAAAACTCATAAATTAAGTATTAAATAATAGATTATAAGGTCTTTAAATTATTGATGGTAAATATCTCAACGAAAATAGCTTCCATGATACTATTCATTAATACTGTTGCACCATACTTGGCATACAGGTATCCAATGGAAAACACTAAAACTAAAAAAAAAAAATGAGGATAAGAAAAATAACTGGAAAGACATTTCAAAGGCAAGCAAACATGTTCTCCTAAATTTCCACAGCTCCATATTTTCACCTGTCAGTTCACAGTGTGGCAATGCCCTTTCTAAAGGCCTTTCAGCACAAATGTTTCAGAAACGTTCTTTACAGTAAACACTGTAATGTCATGTCTGAAGAACAGTGTGACACATAGCTTGGATCTACTCCTGTTTTACTCTTTAGTGTTATACACCAAACTTGTATTTTTGGCGTTGGACATGAGGGTTCTTAATTCTGCTACCATTACATTAAAAAAGATTACCTAATTTGCAGACTGTGGAAAAACACAAAACCAAATAAAGATCAGTAACTTCAAATTTGAAAATTTTCAGAGTTACCAGTTACTAGTACCAAAAGTTGCAGGAGTCACAACAAAGATATCAACATTAGTGTTTTATCCTTTAAACTTCTAATCATTGAGGTTTCATTTACAGGAGCATTTTTTTAGCTTGCTCAGTGGAAGAGTTCCACAGGATGCTCCGTGAAAAAAAAAAAGGTTCTTTTATCAAGTTTGTGAGATTTCGATCTCATTAGCACATTACAGTCATTTATAATTGTTTAACCCAACGTTTCCTGCATTTATTTGACCACAGAATCCTTTGTGTGAATATAAAACAGTCCTGTGAATCAAAATTTGGGAAACAGGTTCTTCTGTGCATAAAAGATATTCTGAGATGGTATTTTAAAATGTGAAATTAAAGCAAGAAATTATTCCACTTGACAGTTTTTCCAGAACAGTTTTGCAAGTGCATATGAGCTCATTTTTAAGTCAATTAGCACAAGCTTTCATGAACCTACCTGAGTACCCAATAACGCTTCCCAGCCAAGACAGAACTTTCAAGCCAAAACTCTGATGTGCAACAAGAGACGAGTGCATGACTTGAACTTTCAGCGGCTTGGTCTGCCTACTACTGGTATTTCTCTTAAAGAGAGACGGCGGGATGAAAAACAAATTTAAAAAGGTTATTTTATAGAAAACTAATATTTTCACTTAATATAACTATACTCTCATCACTATAGGAGAATTTTTTACGTGTGAAAGAGAAATACTACTTGGCTTGCCTTACTCAGACCCTAATTTTTTAAAAGGAATCTTAAAACTCACAAAATGTAAGAAGTTAAAGCTTATGAGTAACCTGAATCTTTGGGTCCTATATTTGAAAATCCACCCCACCAATTATAAATTATTTAAATGCTTAAATTTGCTTTATGACTTTAATTTCTAAATGCAATTACACATTTAAATAATTTATTTCATTGCACAGATGTGATGTTATCAATACTCTAAAAAAGTTATAGCAAAATACACATAAAAATTTCCAGCTTAACCATTTTCAAATGTACAATTCAGTAGCATTAAATACATTCACATTGTTGTGTAACCAATCTCCAGAATTCTTTTCATGTTGCAAAACTGAATCTCTGTACCCATCAAACACTCTAGGTACATCATGCAAGGGGAATACAGTATAAATACAGTATTTATCTTTTTGTGACTGGATTACTTCACTTAGCATAAAATCCTCAAGGTTCATCCATGTTGTAGCATATATCAGAATTTCTTTTCTTTTAAAGGCTGAATAATATTCTGTTGTATGTATACGGATTTTGTTTAGCCATTCATCCACCGATAGACACTTGAGTTGTTTCTCCCCTTCGTCTATTGTGAATGATGCTGCTATGAACGTGGGTGTACAAACATCTCTGAGACCCTGCTTTCAATTCTTTTGTGTATATACCCAGAAGCATTGCTGGATCATACAATAATTCTATTTTTAATTTTTAGAGGAAACACCATACTGTTTTCCACAGTGGCTGCACCATTTTACATTCCCACTAAACAGTGCACAAGGGTTCTCTCTACATCCTTGTCAACACTTTTGATTTTCTGTTATTGTTTTGTCTATAATAGCAATCCTAATGGGTATGAGGTGGTATCTCACTTTGGTTTTTATTTGCATTTCCCTAATGATTAGTAATACTGAACATGTTTTCTTGTGCTTAGGGGCAATCTGTATATCTTCTTTGGAGAAATGTCTATTTACAGCCATCAAAACTTTTTACTTAACATGTTTTTTCCCCTTTTCTTTCTTTCTTTTTTTTTTGTGAGGAAGATTAGCCTTGAGCTAACATCTGTGCCAATCTTCCTCTACTTTGTATGTGGGATGCCTCCACAGTGTGGCTGATGAGTGGAGCAGGTCTGCACCTGGGATCCAAACCCTGGGCCGCTGAAGCAGAGCACATGCAACCACACAGGCATAGGGCCAGCCCCCTCTTTTCATTTTTCATTTGGATTATCTTTCCAGTCCCCCTTCATCCCATCTCCATAACCCACATTAATAAAGTACATCTTTGCATAGCTCTTCATCTACATAGATTATACACGTACACGTTATTATAAAGACTTTGATTTATAAAAATGGGATGCTATACATACTCTTGTGCATCTCTGCGTTAACCGATTTTTTTGGTTAATGACTCATAATATTCTGTGGTGTGGATTTATTCCAACATCCTCTAGAGAAGGGCATTCATATTCCCTGTTTTCAGTCTTCTGTGACTACAAAAAAAGCAGTACTGAGTATCTTTGTACACAGCTTACTGCTGCTTATATTTCTATGGGATAAATTCCTAGGAGAGATAAAATTTTAATAGATGCTACCAGATTTTTTTCCAAAAATGCTGCAGCAATTTATTTTTTACACAAATATTCTTAATCTCTGAAAGCAAAATATTTTATCACTCTAATTTCTCCATTCTGATAGGTATGAAATCTCCCGTCATTCTACAGATTACTAGTGAGCTCAAGACTCTTTTCACATATATTGACCACCTAGATTTTGTTGTGACTGGCTTTTCATATCCTGTGTCCATTTTTCTATTTTGTTGTTTGTTCCCTACTTGATAATCTCTGAGTGCTATTTATCATAAACATTAAATATCTATCCTCTGTGTTAGAAATAATGTTTCTAAATCTACTATTTGTCTACCTACTTTGTGGAATATTTTGCTATGCAAAATTTTTATGTAGCCAAAAATATGTTTGTTTTCTAACTCCTGAGGTTCGAGTCTTGGTTAAGAAGCTCTGCTCCTCCCTTAGAATGTACCTGTAGTTTCCTAGATTTTCCTTGTACTAGTATTTATTTTTGGACTTTCTATTCTACATTATGAATCTGTCTATGCAAATACCACCAGAGATTCCAAATAACAATTTTTTAAAAAAGGAAAAACGGGTGACATCAGCAACATGGCGCGTGAGCTAACCCGGGACTCTCTCCCCTCCAAAGTACAACCAAAAAGAGCAACTGCTTTCCAACCAAAAAAAGAATCCTAATAACAGAAATTGTCAGAGACCCACAGCAGCCAAACGACGGAAGGCGGAGAGGCTGCAGCCGCCCTCGGAGCAGCTGGAACGGGGTAGGAGAGAACTTCGCTCCCTCCCCTAGAGACTGGGATCGTCGCCGTGGGTGAGGGAACGAGCAAGGGAGGGGCTGCGCATGGGGGGATCATCGAGGACTCCCACCTCCCGGGCAGAAACCCTCTAATAGGGGAAAGCTTTCACGTGGGGGAACCCCAGCAAGCCAGGGCCCTGGGAGGCCAGAAAGTGAAAGCTGATCCAATACAGGTCGGTGTGAGCGAAAGTGCTCCTCCTCCTCCCACCCACGCTGGGCGCCGCCATCTTGGCTGGAGGCGCAGGGCTCAGAAAACAAGCCTCTCGACCCCCATCTAGTGGCGACAGGCTGTAACTGCAGCCGAATAATAGCATCATGCACAAACACCGCTCCTCTACCATCCAGCAATTTATAAAAGCTCCAGTCCAAAAGGAAAACAATAAAAATACAGAAGTAGGTCCTGAGGGCTTGGAAATGAGTAAACTAAGTGAAGAGGAGTTCAAAATAGCTATCCTCAAAATATTCAATGAGGTAAAGGGAAATATATAGAAACAAGTCAATGAGTTCTGGAGTTACTTCACAAAAGAGACTGAAAACTAGAGGTGAAAAATACAATGGATCAGATACAACAGAATACGGGTTCCCTGAATGCCCGTAGACACAACAGAAGAGCAAATTAGCATAATCTAAGATAGACAGGCCGAATGGCTCCAGACAGAGGAAGAAAGAGAACTAAGAATTAAAAAAAACTGAAGAAAATCTCAGAGAAATAGCTGACTCAATGAGAAAATGCAACTTAAGAATCATCAGGATTCCTGAGGGCATGGAAAAGGAAAATTGAGCAGAAAGTGTGCTCAACGAAATAATAGATGAGAAATTCCCAAATCTAGGGATTGAGACAGAAATGTGTGGAGGAAGCTTTCAGATCTCCTAGATTTGTCAATGTAAAAGACCTACTGCAAGGCACATAGTAGTAAAAATGGCAAAAATGAAGGACAAAAAAAGAATACTCAGGGCAGCAAGGCAGAAGAAAATAACCTACAAAGGAACGCCCATCAGACTTTCAGCGGATTTCTCTACAGAAACCTTACCAGCTAGGAGAGATTGGAGTGACATATTCAAAACTTTAAAGGATAAAACTCTTCAGTCAAGAATACTCTATCCAGCAAAAATATCCTTCAGATATGAGGGAGATATTAAACCTTTTCCAGACAAACAAAAGCTAAGGGACTTTGTAGTCACATGACCTCTACTACAAGATATCCTCATGAAGGCTCTCATACCTGAAAAAATAAAAAAAGGGAGTAAGGGGTCACAAAACACAGAGTAGGGAGACAAATAGATAGAATCTGAAAGGATAGCAAATATTCAACTATAGCATTAGGATAAAGGGAAGGAAATCACAAAAGCAAAGACAATCTTGTCACTCTAACCACAAACTCACAACACAAGTTGGAATAAGACATGAAAATAATAATTTAGGAGGGGAGGAGGAAAGGGACTGAAACAGTCTAGGCTAAGGAAGTAGGAGACCACCAGAAAATGGACTATGTTATACACGAGATTCTGAATACAACCTTCAGGGTAGCCACTAAACTAAAAAACAGAACAGAGACACAAAACATAAACAAGGAAAAATCTAAGAAACCCAGCATAAGATATTGCAGAAGTCAATGGGTAGGCTAAAACACACAGGACGAGAAACAAAGGAAACACAGGAAAACTGGAAAACCAGCAACAGAATGACAGCATTAAGCCCTCATGCATCAATACTCACCCTCATTGTGAACGGACTGAACTCTCCAATAAAAAGACACAGAGTGGCAAAACGGATTAAAGAACAAGATCCAACAATTTGTTGCCTCCAGGAAACACACCTCAGCTCCGAGGACAAACACAGGCTCAGAGTGAAGGGGTAGAAGAAAATACTCCAAGCTAATAGCAAACAAAAGAAAGCAGGTGTCGCAATACTTACATCAGACCAAACAGACTTCAAGATAAGGCAGGTAAAGAGAGACACAGAGGGCCAATATATAATGATCAAAGGGACACTTCATCAAGAAGAAATAACGCTTATAAATATCTATGCACCCAACACAGGAGCACCAAAGTTCATAAAGCAACCATTAACAAACCTAAAAGAAGATATCAAAAATAACACAATAATAGTAGGGGACCTCAACACCCCACTCACATCAATTGACAGATCATCCAGACAGAAAATTAACAAAGAAACAGTGGAGCTAAAGGAAAAGCTAAAACAGTTGGACTTAATAGACATATATACAACACTCATCGAAAAACAGCAGAATACACATTCTTCTCAAGTGCGCATGGAACATTCTCAAGGATAGACCATATGTTGGGGAACAAGGCAAGCCTCTACAAATTTAAAAAAACTGAAATAATAACAAGTATCTTCTCCGATCAAAATGCTGTAAGGCTAGAAATTAATTACAAGAAAAAAGCAGAGAAAGGCACAAGGATGTGGAGACTAAACAATACACTATTGGACAAGCAATGGATCACTGAAGAAATTAAGGAAGAAATCAAAAAATACCTGGAGACAAATGAAAATGATAACATGCCATACCAACTCATATGGGATGCAGCAAAAGCTGTATTAAGATGAAAATTCATCGCAATTCAGGCACATCCTAACAAACAAGAAAAATCCCAAATCAGCAATCTTAAACTACACCTAACTGAATTAGAGAAAGAAGAACAAATAAAGCCCAAAGTCAGCAGAAGGAGATAAATAATAAAAATCAGAGCAGAAATAAATGCTATTGAAACAATAAAAACAGTAGAAAGGATCAAGGAAACAAAGAGCTGGTTCTTTGAGAAGATAAATAAAATTGACAAACCCCTAGCCAGACTTACAAAGAAAAAAAGAGAGAAAGCTCAAATAAACAAAATCAGAAATGAAAAAGGAGAAATAACAACAGACTCCGCAGAAATACAACGGATTATAAGAGAATACTACGAAAAACTATATGCCAACAAAATGGATAACCTAGAGGAAATGGATAAATTCTTGGACTCCTACAATCTTCCAAAGCTCACTCAAGAAGAAGCAGACAATTTGAACAGACCAATCACAAGGAAAGAGATTGAAACAGCCATCAAAAGCATCCCAAAGAATAAAACCCCAGGACCAGATGGCTTTCCTGGGGAATGTTACCAAACTTTCAGAGAGGATTTACTACCTATCCTTTTCAAGCTATTCTAAAAAATTAGGGAGGATGAAACACTTCCTAACACATTCTACGAGGCCAACATCATGCTGATACCAAAGCCTGACAAGGACAGCACGAAAAAGGAGAACTACAGGCCAATATCGCTGATAAACACAGATGCAAAAATTCTCAACAAAATTTTGGCAACCCGAATACAGCAATTCATCAAAAGGATCATACATCATGATCAAGTGGGATTCATACCAGGGACACAGGGATGGTTCAACATCCACAAATCAATCAACGTGATACACCACATCAACTATCTGAGGAATAAAAACCACATGATCATCTCAATAGATGCAGAGAAAGCATTTGACAAGATCCAACAGCCATTTATGATAAAATGGGGGATAGAAGGGAACTACCTCAACATAATAAAGGCCATATATGACAAACCCACAGCCAACATCATACTCAATGGGCAAAAACTGAGTGCCATCCCCTTGAGAACAGGAATGAGACAAGGATGCCCTCTATCACCACTCTTATTTAACATAGTTCTGGAGGTCCTGGCCAGAGCAATCAGGCAAGAAAAAGGAATAAAAGGAATCCAATTGGGGGCGGGGAGAAGTGAAACTCTCGCTGTTTGCAGACAACATGATCTTATATATAGAAAACCCCAAAGAATCCAGTGGAAAACTTTTAGAAGTAATCAACAAGTACAGCAAAGTTGCAGGGTATAAAATCAACTTGCGTAATTCAGTAGCATTTCTATACTCTAATAATGAACTAACAGAAAAAGAACTCAAGAATACAATACCATTCACAATCGCAACAAAAAGAATAAAATACCTTGGGGTGAATTTAAGGAAGTGAAAGACCTATACAATGAAAATTACAAGGCTTTTCTGAAAGAAATGGATGACGACATAAAGAGATGGAAAGACATTCCATGCACATGGATTGGAAGAATAAACATAGTTAAAATGGCCATTCTACCTAAAGCAATCTACAGATTCAACGCAATCCCAATCAGAATCCCAATGACAGTCTTTACAGAAATAGAACAAAGAATCCTAAAATTCACATGGGGCAACAAAAGACCCTGAATTGCTAAAGGAATCCTGAGAAAAAAGAATACAGCTGGAGGCATCACAATCCCTGACTTCAAAACATACTACAAAGCTACAGTAATCAAAACAGCATGGGACTGGTCCAAAAACAGGTGCACAGATCAATGGAACAGAATTGAAAGCCCAGAAATAAAACCACACATCTTTGGGCAGCTAATCTTCGACAAAGGAGCTGAGGGCCTAGAATGGAGAAAAGAAAGTCTTTTCAACAAATGGTGCTGGGAAAACTGGACAGCCACATGTAAAAGAATGAAAATTGACCATTCTTTTTCACCATTCACCAAAATAAACTCAAAATGGATCAAAGACCTAAAGCTGAGACCTGAAAACATAAGGCTTCTAGAAGAAAATGTAGGCAGTACACTCTTTGACATCAGTATTAAAAGGATCTTTTCGGACACCACGTCTTCTCAGACAAGGGAAACAACAGAAAGAACAAACAAATGGGACTTCATCAGACTAAAGAGCTTCTTCAAGGCAAGGGAAAACAGGATTGAAACAAAAAAACAACCCACTAATTGGGAAAAAATATTTGCAAGTAATACATCCGATAAAGGCTTAATATCCATAATATATAAAGAACTCACACAACTCAACAACAAAAAATCAAACAACCCGATCAAAAAATGGGCAGGAGACATGAACAGACATTTCTCCAAAGAAGATATATGGATGGCCAATAGGCACATGAAAAGATGTTCATCATCGCTGATCATCATGGAAATGCAAATCAAAACTACACTAAGATATCACCTTACACCCATTAGAATGACAAAAATAACTAAAACAAATAGTAACAAATGTTGGAGAGGTTGTGAGAAAAAGGAACCCTCATATACTGCTGGTGGGAATGCAAACTGGTGCAGCCACTATGGAAAACAGTATGGAGATTCCTTAAAAAATTAAAAATAGAACTACCATACTGGGTATCTATCCAGAGAGCTTGAAGTCAGCAATTCCAAAAGTCCTATGCACCCCAATGTTTATTGCAGCATTATTTACAATCGCCAAGACATGGAAGCAACCTAAGTGCCCATCAACAGATAAAGAAGATGTGGTGTATATATACAACGGAATACTACTCAGCCGTAAAAAAGAACAAAATCGTCCCATTTGGAACAACATGGATGGACCTTGAGGGAATTATGTTAAGTGAAATAAGCCAGACAGAAAAGGACAATCTCTGTATGACTCCAGTCATATGAGGAATTTAAACCTGTGGACAAAGAGAACAGATTAGTGGCTACCAGGGAAAAGGGGGGTGAGGGGTGGGCACAAAGGGTGAAGGGGTACACCTACAACACGACTGACAGACAATATTTGCTACACTAAAATGTAAAGCTTTTGCTCAATGAGAGGCACCACAAACAAACTTAAAATACAGTCATGCACTGCATAACAATTTTTTGGTTGATGATGGATTGCATATCCAACAGTGGCCCCATTAGATTAGCACCATATAGTCTAGGCATCTAATAGGCTACACATCATCTAGGCCTGTGTAAATATACTCTATGATGTTCGCACAATGATGAAATCACCTCACAACAGATTTCTAAGAACATTTATCTTTGTCGTTAAGCAACACATGACTGTAAATCACATACTGAGAAAAAACATTTGCAACAAAAGATCAGGATTCAGATTATGTAAAGAACCCCTACAAATGAGTAAGAAAAAGACAAATAATCCAACAGAAGGAAATAGATAAAGGGTATGAACAGGAAATTCACAGAAAACTTAAGTGACCAACACAATAAACATGAAACAAGATGCTTTGTAATCAAGGCAATGCAAATTTAACTGATGAAATGCTATTACACATCAGACTGGCAAAAATTTAAAAATTTGACAATATGTAGTTCTGACAAAGCCATGGAGAAATGGGAACTCTAATATACCACTGATGGGAATATATATTGGTACCACCATTTTGGAGACTAACTTGGCAAAATCTAGTAAAGCTGAAAATGCTCACACCCTAACAATTCAGAAATTCCTTATATTGGTATACACCTCAGAGAAACTTTTGCATCTATGCAACAAGGGGACAAAAGAATGTCCATAGCAGGACTGTCAGTCATTGCAAAAAACTGGAAATATCCTAAATGCCGGTCAACATAAGAATGGGAAAATTATGGTACAATCATCAATGGAATACATGTATCACAGATAAATCAAGAAACAACATTGAAATGAAAAGGCAAGTTGCACTATAATACATTCAGTATGAATCTTGTTATATAACGTTTAAAAGCCACCAAATCAATACATTTGACAGACATTTAATAGATCAAGTATAAAGGCATGTATGAGAATGAACGAATGCATTAAAGTAGTTATCTCTAGAAAAAGGAAGAGGATGGGGATTAAGAAGGGCTAATATAGGGGCCTCTATGCTGTTTACTTAAAATAAGTATGAAGAAAATGATGTATAATGTGGGCACATAGGTGTTCATGGTGTTATCTCTTTGTGTATTTAAAATATTTCACAACATATAAAATTACTTTTCAAAAGGACATTTACATAAAATGTAGTTACATGGAATAGTTAAAAAATAATAAATTCTAACTTTTTAAAATAAATCTAATTTGTGGGAATAGTTTTCTTTTAGAGAAATAATACACTACATGCTATTAGGATACAAAGCATCCAGTGCTATACGGTATCAGGAAACAACCCTTGAATTCTAATCTTAGTGCTAAAGGCCAGTTTAATTCTAAAAACGTAATGTGAAACCTAGTCAAAAACAAAACAAAAAGCAAAAAATTTTCTAAGACGTCTCTGAGGGAGATAGGATGGCAGAACATACATATCTCATCTAAATATTCATTTTCTGTATTAATCTTACGCAGCTTAAAATTCAGCAAGGCAGAATAATGTTGGCTTTATGTTCATAAAGGCAGAAAAACGTGTTCATAAACGCCAAAATCTGGAACTGGTTTTAAACTAATAAAAAATAACAGTGTAGGCATGTTTTAAAATTCTTACCACAATTATTGATTTGGCTTGCTCACAATACTGGAAGTCTCCACATCGAACCGACCTACGTCCCTGCAAATAAAGATACTTAAAATCAACCTGTAAAAATATTATATTCAATATTAATAACTTTTGAACCAATAAAACAAACATTTGAGCATACAACAACTCTGGTCAATTTTTAATATTCACAATGTTCATTCTATTCATTAATAAAAAGTAAATTAAAATATTTTCCTGGACCTGGTCCCATGGCCAAGTGGTTAAAGTTCTGCATGCTCTGCTTTAGCAGCCTGAGTTCAGGGGTTCGGATCCTGGGCACAGACCTACACCACTCACCAGCCATGCTGTGGTGATGTCCCACATAGAAAAAGTAGAGGAAGACTGGAACAGATTTTAGCTATTAGCTCAGGGCTAATCTTCCTCAAGCGAAAAAAAAAAAGAAAGGAGAAAGATTGGCAATGGATTATTAGCTCAGGGCGAATCTTACTCAGCCAAAACAAAATTTCCTTCAAAGCTATCCTAACATTTTCAAGCCATTAATAAGTATATTTCCTTGACCAACACAACACTTATTCTTCTAGGCTGCTGTAATTTCTATTTTCATAACTGATTATTTCTAATCACTGGGTAGAATGAAGGCAACTGTATCTACATGGCCTCCTAAACTTGCTATCTGACAATAGCTTATGATTATACCCAATATATATTTGGGCTAATATGCAAATGATATTAAAAAAATAGCCTACATATATATACCTCTAACTCAATTTTCTAGCATAACTTTTTCTGTAATAAAAGTTCAATTTCTTACATGACATCAATATAATGAAATTACTTACATCTCGATCTACAGTAGTTGCAAAGCCAATAGCTTCTTTTTGTGTACAGTTAACAGCTTTCTGAAGTGTATAAATAACTTGTTCATATGTATGAACTTCATCATTAAACAGCATGCAATAGTAGGTGTCACTCTTCTCTCTGTGGGACAAACCATTAATTACATATTATCTATTTGCATATTATCTTGCTCCAGGCTGAATTATTGAGAACATACTTTGTTCTAGGAACGTGCTCGGTACTGCACATGGCATAGAGCACGTGTCCCCATGCTGTACGACACTGCGGTCTGGTGGGGAAGATAGACAGTGAACATATAATTCTATGTGAACTGGCTTTATCAAGAAGGGTACAATGCCAGGCCAGGGTAAAATGGGTCTGGGAGTTCGGAGAAGGACTGCCAGAGAAGTCCTCTGAGAGCCGCGGTCACTACAGGCTATCAGTGGTTCCCAGTTGGGGCAATTCTCCCCGACCCCCAACGGATGACCACCTGGCAACGGCTGGAGACATTCTTGGTTGTCATGACTTTGGCAGGAGTGCCACTGGCATCTAGTGGGTAAGGGCCAGGGATGCTGCTAAATAGTCTATAATCTGCCAGACAGTCCCCATAATAAAGAATTAATCTGGCCCCAAATGCCAACACTGCCAAGGTTGAGAAACCCTGGTTTAGAGGAAGGTGAAAGTAAAGCCCCTGAGATGGCAAAGGTAAATAGTGGGAGCTGGACCACAGGGAGGGAGGAGGAGACTAGTCCGGGGAGAGGCAGAAATCTTGAAGACCTTATGATGGATTTTTGATTTTGCCATCCTAAGGACAATCAAGGATTTAAATTAGGAGATACGGTCAGATTTGCCTTAAAGTTCACTTTGGCTACAGTGTGGAGAATGAATGGTGACGGACAAGAGCGGATATGGCAGTCCAGTGAGGGAGGCCATATTGCCCAAGGATGAAATTAATGTTATTTGCACTAGGAGAGTAGTAATGGAGATGAACAGAAGTAGAACAATTTGCTAGAGGGAGAGCCAGCTGGACTTGAAGTCTAAATGGATATGAGTGATTCAGGTTTCTGGGTAGATGGGAATGTCCTTTATTAAGATGGGAAAACATCACAACAGAAGCAAGTTAGATTCTTTTCCCTTCTATGCTGGTGGTCCTGAATCTATACAGGAATAAAAAAAATAAAAACAAAACTCTTCTATTCTCTAGGGTCTAAATCTGGATCTTAGATCAATGGTTTCCAACTTGAAGTATATGAAGATAAAGTCATGAGACATTTCCAAAACGGCACAGTAACACCTCATTTTATTAAAAAACACTTAACCCTCAATGTAATTATCTGGAACATTGTTAAGAAAGCAAAAAAGAAACACCACTGATGTCCTTTACACCCTCACTCCAACTTGTGTTCAACCTTAACTATGAATGTAATTCCAACAAACTTGGTTAGAATTAAAAGTGAGACATGGGGCTGGCCCCGTGGCCGAGTGGTTAAGTTCACGCGCTCCACTTCGGCAGCCTGGGCTTTCACTGGTTTGAACCCTGGGTGCGGACATGGCACCGCTCATCAAGCCATGCTGGGGCGGCGTCCCACATACCACAGCTAGAAGGACCCACAACTAAGAAAGTACAACTATGTACTGGGGGGCTTTGTGGAGAAAAAGGAAAAATAAAATCTTAAAAAAAGTGAGACAGAAGGTTGCTCAAGGCAAGTACACTCAAGTGGAAAAGTAATCCTTTAATCTTAATACAGCTACGGCAGAACCCAGCCTTCTGGTCACAAGTTTGTGACCTCCTCAATAATCTAAGTACAGATGGCAAAAATGTTAGCTGTACACTAAAAGAAGCAAAGTGTGGAATAAATTCTATAAAATTTAGAATCAAATGGTTAAAACTGAATTTGAGCAGTTGTCAAACCAGAAAACTCACTTTATCAAAGAGCTCATTCCTTATTCATATCTGACAGACAAAAAAAAGAATAACTTACCAGTTTTATCACACAAAGAAGAGAAAACTGCCTGTGCCTAAAACCAATCACAGAGCCTTGGCGTGGCTTAAACATGTCTATAAACCAACTAAACCAACCATCTAACGGGGAGAAAGCTCTACCAGTTAAGTGGATCACACACATTTAAAAACTATAAAGTCAAAGTTCTTGTTCTGCTGAAAACAAATTATGAAAAAAAAAAAGATTATGTTCTCTCCTAGCTATATTAAAATTAATTTGAGGAATAAGAATCAAAATGGTCAAAAATCTGTGTGAGCAAATACAAGTACAAAGAAGAAATGGGTTGTACTTACACCATCTCTAAATCTGCTGGCAATTCACTTTCTTTTTCCCAGGTTAATATCTCTACTGCATATTGAAACATAATAGTAAAAATGTTATAACTTCTTGCTATCACATCTTCTGATAAATGCACAAGAGGATCCTGAAAGAAAGAACAGGAAAAAAAAAAAAAATCAACCACGTTAAACACACATTAATTCTCCTCTTTCCCATTGTGCCTCCATCCCTTAAAATACTATTGTAAAAAGCAGACTGAGGGGCCGGCCCAGTGGCGCAGCGGTTAAGTGCACATGTTCTGCTTCGGCGGCCCATGCTGTGGCAGGCGTCCCACATATAAAGTAGAGAAAGATGGGCATGGATGTTAGCTCAGGGCCAGTCTTCCACAGCAAAAAGAGGAGGATTGGCAGCAATTAGCTCAGGGATAATCTTCCTCAAAAAAAGAAAAAAGCAGACATCTTTCAGCTTCAGCTTCTCTTCAGCTTGATCCTATACATTACATCCTACCAAACCAAGCTTCCTAAAACTTTAGGTTCATAATAATCCCAATTACTGAATCAACTAAACCAAAATATTCAATGGCACTTCAATGCCTATTAAATCTAAAAATTTTATAACGGCATTCCAGAATCTTTAAAACCTAACACCAAACCATCTTCAAAGCTTCATACCCTACTAATCCCCAATTTCAAGAGTAAACAACAGAATATTATCTAAGGACAGACAAGCAGTATTTAGTTTCACAGGTATAAAGGAGAGCATGATTTTGAGGATTCTGAAGGGGAGAAGTAAATGAGGTCAGAAAACTACCTGATGTTGTAAGAACCATTCACTTGTCTACTCTCTCTCAGCAGGGCAAGCTGTGCCCACATGTAACAGGCAACTTGGCACATCAGACTTAACAGTGAACGACTCACTAAATTTCTAGGTTAATGTAAAAAAGTATTGCTATAAACATACACTAAGATTACCATGGTGTCTTTCAGTAAAGGTTGGCAAAATGTTTTATACACTTTAATCTTAATGCTTTATCTCAAATCTAAACACATTATTTACCTTAATGTCTATATTGTGTTATATTCATTTCTCAAGTAAGAAAATCAGTATGTTCCAACATCATGGAATGGGAACTAGCACATTCTTGCAAATATTCATAAGGACACAGACTTTTCTGTTTATCTTCACCAAAGACAAGCCTAGTGGAACTGATATAAGACAAATGGAGAAGATAAATAAAAAGAATGGAGGAAAAAGGACAAAGATTCTGAAAGGAGATGGGTCAAGGGCTTGAAGAATGTAAGAAGATAGAAAAAAAGAAAAAGATTTTTCAAAATCTTACAGCACTTTTTACCTACAACTCTTCTCAACAGTCTGCTTTATATGTCTCATCAAAATAATTTTTTATCCTACTAGCAAGGTTCACTACTATTTCTTATGGAGACTTAACAAGTCGTTAACGTAGTGAAATCACCTGGACAAAGATGGGACTAGAACTGGAACCTCCTGGAGACTCATAAAAGAATGAACAATAATAATAATATAAACCTCACACTACACCAAAATATAAAATAGAAGCAAAACTCAGTTTTCTTGATGATACTATCTCACTATATGGTCAATCCATTTCTTACAATTATGTCCCACAATACAAGAGGATTGAAGAATTATGATATATAAGATTTATAAGAATTTAATGGTTCTGGGACAGAAACAACTGCCAATTCTTGAGACTCTAAGCCAGTAGTGTCCAAACATTTTTGCAAGTGTCCTTGCAAAATCCCAAGGCCTGGTAGACATATTTCCTATTTCACTAATACATCAGTTAAAAAATGTATAATTACCTATATTTTTTAAATGGCAATATAAAAATAAGCTGTACAATGTGTTACATTACATATTGGGGGGATCACCAACTGGTAATTCTGCTGTTACATTAACCCTGTTTTGGGCAGGCCTAGGAATACAGATTCTTCTGCCATCTTTGTATATATATGTTAACTTCTTGAAAAACGGTCACTGATTAAGAATTATCTCTGTAGGTGACGTCAGTGTCATGGTGGAGTGAGCTTGCCGGGGACTCTCTCCCCTCCAACATACAACAAAAAGGAGCAACCACACTCCAACAAAAAATAGCCTAATAGCACAGGAATCCTCAGAGACCCACAGCAGGCAAACAATGGAGGGCAGAGAGGCTGGAGCCTCCTCAGAGGAGCTGGAATGGTGGAAGAGAGAACTTTGCTTCCTCCCCTAAAGACTGGGATCGCGGCTGTGGGAGGCTCCGAGAGGGAAGGAGTGGGGGAGGGGTCATGCATCCGCAGGACCACCCAGGACTCCCTAGTGCCCTTGCAGCCTAGAGGGAAGCCCTCTAACGGGGCAAAAGCTTTTGGTGTGACCTCATCAAGCCAAGACCCCAGGAGACCAGATAGTGAGAGCTGACGGGGAAACCTGGGTCTGCCCGCAGGAGAAAGTGCCCTTCCTCCCCTGAACTGAGTAGTGCTGCGCCACGGCTGTGCCATCGCGGCTGAAGGTGGAGGGCCCAGAATACGTGACTCTCGACCCCCATCTAGTGATGACAGGCTGTAACTGCAACCAAATAATATCACAATGGGCAAGACCTGTCCTTCCAGCATCCGTCAATTCATCAAATCTCCAGACCAGAGGGAAAACAAGCACCCAGAATTATGTCCTGAGGACTCAGAAATAAGTAAACTAAATGACAATGAATTCAGAATAGCTATTATCAAAAAACTCAATGAGGTAGAAGAAAATATAGAGAAACAATTCAACGAGTTCTGGAGCTACTTCACAAAAGAGACTGAAACTATAAAGAAGAATCAATCAGAAATACTAGAGATGAAAAACACAATGGAAAAGATAAAACAAAATACAGATTCCCTGAATGCTCATGTGGACACTATACAGGAGCAAATCAGCATAATTGAAGACAGACAGATTGAATGGCTCCAGACAGAGGAGGAGAGAGAACTAAGACTAAAAAGAAATGAAGACAATCTCCGAGAAATAGCTGACTCACTGGGGAAATGCAACATAAGAATTACAGGTATCCAACAAGGTGAAGAGAAGGAGAAGGGAGCAGAAAGCATGCTCAAAGAAGTAATAGCAGAGAACTTCCCAAATCTAGGGATTGAGACAGAAATGTGTGTGGAGGAAGCTTTCAGATCTCCCAGATTTGTCAATGTAAAAAGACCTATTGCAAGGCATATACTACTAAAACTGGGAAAAATGAAGGACAAAGAAAGAATACTCAGGGCAGTAGGGCAGAAGAAAATAAGCTACAAAGGAACCCCTATCAGATTTTCAGCGGATTTCTCTGCAGAAACCTTATAAGCTAGGAGAGATTGGAATGACATATTCAAAACTTCAAAAGATAAAAATCTTCAGCCAAGAATATTCTATCCAGCAAAAATATCCTTCATATATGAGGGAGAAATTAAATCTTTCCCAGACAAACAAAAGCTAAGGGACTTCATACAATGAGACCCCCCACTACAAGAAATCCTCAAGAAGGCCCTCATACCTGAACAAAGAAAAAAATGGGAGAAAGGGGTCACAAAACACAGAATAAGGAGACAAACAGAATCAGAATAGGATAGCAAATATTCAACTGTAGCATTAGGATAAAGGGAAGGAAAACACCAAAAACAAAGACAATCTTGTCACTTTAACCACGAACTCACAACACAAGTTGGAATAAGTCATGAAAATAATAACTTAGGAGGGGACAAGGAAAAAGACTGAATCAGTTTAGACTAAGGAAATAAGAGGCCATCAGAAAATGGACTATGTTATGCATAAGATTCTGAATACAAACTTCAGGGTAGCTACTAAAATAAAAAACAGAACAAAGACACAAAAAATAAATGAGGAAAAAGCTAAGAAACACAGCATAAGAAACTGCAGAAGTCAATGGGTAGACCAAAACACACAGGATGAGAAACAAAGGAAATGCAGGAAAACCAGAAAACGAGTGACAGAATGACAGCATTAAGCCCTCATACATCAATAATCACCCTCAATGTAAACGGATTGAACTCTCAAATAAAAAGACACAGAGTGGCAAGATGGATTAAAGAACAAGATCCAACAATTTGTTGCCTCCAGGAAACACATCTCAGCTCCAATGACAAATACAGGCTCAGAGTGAAGAGGTGGAAGACGATACTCCAAGCTACTGGCAAACAAAAGAAAGCAGGTGTCGCAATACTTACATCAGACAAAGTAGATTTCAAGATGAGGGAGGTAAAGAGAGACAAAAAGGGACAGTATATAATGACCAAAGGGACACTACATCAAGAAGAAATAACGCTTATAAATATCTATGCACCCAACAGAAGCACCAAAGTTCACAAAGCAACTGTTAACAAACCTAAAAGAAGATATCAAAAATAACACAATAATAGTAGGGGACCTGAACATTCCACTCACATCATTGGACAGATCATCTAGACACAAAATCAACAAGGAAACAGTGGAATTAAACGAAAAGCTAAAACAGTTGGACTTAATAGACATATATAGAACACTCCAAAAACAGCAGAATACACATTCTTCTCAAGCGCGCATGGAACATTCTCAAGGATAGACCATATGTTGGGAAACAAGGCAAGCCTCTATAAATTTAAAAAAATTGAAATAATAACAAGTATCTTCTCCGATCATATGCTATAAAGCTAGAAATTAATTAGAAGGAAAAAGCTGAGAAAGGGACAAAGATGTGGAGACTAAACAATATGCTACTGAACAAGCAATGGATCATTGAAGAAACTAAAGAAGAAATAAAAAAATATCTGGAGACAAATGAAAACAATAACATGCCATAACAATTTATATGGGATACTGCAAAAGCTGTATTAAGAGGAAAATTCATTGCAATACAGGCATACCTTAAAAAACAAGAAAAATCCCAAATAAACAATCTCAAGTTACACCTATCTGAATTAGAGAAAGAAAAACAAATAAAGCCCAAAGTCAGCAGAAGGAGAGAAATAATAAAAGAGCAGAAATAAATACTATTGAAACAAAAAAGACAGTAGAAAGGATCAAGGAAACAAAGAGCTGGTTCTTTGAGAAGATAAATAAAATTGACAAACCCCTAGCCAGACTTACAAAGAAAAAAAGAGAGAA